TTTCTATCACTGTCTACTGTGGAATGTAACAGCAGCAAGTCAATGTGTTTACTGGCAGGTTTATCAATAAGAACATGAGTTTTAAATGCAAGAGGATTTCTATCTAAAAGCAAAGTCTGTTTTCAAGCATCTGGAAGTCATTTAAAATATCTAAATTATTCATTATGCTTAATTATAGTCATCAAGAGCACAGATGATCCTCATAACCTTACCAGATTTCTATCACCTTCCACTTAAGTGCTATCACATATCGGCACAACGAAGAACTAATCATTTCCCCCAAGATAGAATTAATTCCCCTAGAAACAAGACAGCATGGACCAAAATTTCTCATTACCATGTTTTTGGAGCTCTCTTCGTCCACTTACATTCAGCAATGGGCATGAGGCCATGTTTAAACATTAGAAATCATTTTGATGAAAGATTCCAAACACCACTCCTTCACAGGGATGCGAGTGGAAACATCGGCACTATTTTCCAAGTCACTGTTTTGGGTACAAACATGCCCACAGCAATCAGTGTCTGTTTGCAAACTCTGGAATGCAGAGCAGAGCGGGCTGTTTAGTTACCATTCATAAAAGACCAATCCAAAGAACGTATCTACTGGTTGACTTCATTTAAACCCTTAAGAATTCATCTGGGAAAAAGGGTAGGGAATTTGGAGGCACTGTGGCGGTAGAGGTTTTGAATTTAGAAAAGGTGTCTTAGTTTCCTAAGGCTGCGAACAAATACCACAGACTGGGCGGCGAAAACAACAGCAATTTATCTCCTCAAACAGGTTCTGGAGGCTGGAAATCCAAGATGAAGGTGTCAGCAGGGTTTGTTTCTTTTGGAATCCTCTTTCCCTGGCTTGGGGATGGCCCTCTTCTCTCTTGCCTTCACATGTTCTTCTCTTTATGTGTGTCCTGATCTCTTCTCACAAGGACACCAGTCATACTGAACTAGGGCCTACCCATAAGACCTCATTTTACCCTAATTAACTCTTTAAAGACTCTATCTGCAGATACAGTCATTTTCTGAGGTACGGTACGGAAGTGGGAGTGGCGGTTAGGATTCCCACACACACACTTGAAGGGGACACGATGAATTCAGTCCTTAACAGATGGAGATGATTATAACCTGTTTCCTTACGTTAAATGGTTTCAGAGGTGAGAAAAAAGTTCAAGTGGCAGATTTTTATGCTTATTTAAGTTCATTAGTTTTAGAAATAGTTTGATTAGCAGCTCAGTATAAACTGTTGCTGCTTTTTCTGAGACCTTGTACTCTCTTAACCATTATTCTAAAAATATACACACACTCTTGTCTTTGTAAGATGTACTCTTAAGAGTGACTAATCTGCTATAATTAAGATGTAACCTTTCCAAAATTTCATTGCCAACAGAAACAGAAGTGCCATCACATATTTTAAAGAGCCTATCCTTTGCGTTCAGGCAAGCAGGAAGCCTTATTCCATTAGGCAAACACACATTACCCCAGGCTTAAAGGGGAACAGGTTCTCCTTCATTCTAGGCAATGTCAGATTGATCCCTGAGAAAAGCATGGGGTGCAATCTGAAAGCTACAAAAGCTAAATTTAAAAATTAAAGACATTCTCAAGAGCAGGAAACTTTTCCATGGAAAATACATCCTCCATTCAGCCAGGTAGGTTGTTCTCAATTTGGTTAAAACCATTTGTTGATTTCTGCTAAGAATAAATTAAAATGGTAGAAAGTCAAAACAAAGAAAGAAACAAACAGGAGAGAAGCCATCCGTGAGTGAACAACAATAAATATCTGGAAAAAGAGGACGCCACGGAGAAAGTTATCAGGGCCAAGAAAGCGGAATACCACGTATAAGCAGAGGAGCAAGTTAATTCTCACTTTGATCTACAGAAAATCCCAGCAAGTAGAGGTGCTAAGTACTGGGAAAAGCTGGAGTGAGGCCTACGATGGAAAACAGGGGGATTGGCTAAAACTGGTTGACTACCACTCCACACATTGGCAGAAGGCTGAGAGTTTATTTCGTGGACTCACAGTGGTTCGATTTCTTCAGACAAGGGGGTCCCAGGTATACGAGAACATGAGGGAGAGGTGCTGTACTCAAAGCAGGTGGGTTAATGAAAATCTGCACACAGTGTTGAGCACCCAGAATTTTGGCTGCCAGGTGGATTTCCCTCTAGAGGCACAGAATGGCCCAGACACAAGGCCTATGGATCCTGACATCTGGAGGACTCCAGTGAAACAGGAGCATCCATACCTCGTCACCTGTGCAATGAGCAGTCAACAGTCCAGAAGGGCCTGCCCCCATTTCTGATCAGTTTTAAATGTCTTAAGTATATAAAGGAGAGCCAAAGATCTCTCCCAGAAAGTCTCAAACATGAGAGACCAAAATAAACAAAAAGTGCAGACACAAGAGAGAAAGCAAGGTAAAACAAACAAACAAAAAAGACAACATTCCCAGGGATTTAAGAGCTACTTCATTCAAGAAACAAAAAAAAAAAACAGGTCAATGGAAGGGCTGACAGAGAAAGTGGAGGAAATATCTCACACAGAAAGCAAAACAAAGAGCCAAAGAATTGAAAAAGAAAATTAGAGGATCAAATCAGCATTCGAAATCTGCAAAACAGATTTCTTTCAACGAGAAAGAATAGAGAAAATAGGGTTGGAGGAGGAGGGGGTTAGGGAGACAATACAGATACAGCCCCCAAATGGAAGGCCTTCACGTCTCCGACTAAAATCCTCAAGTACCCAGCACGAAGGATAAACAGCAGACACACGTGACACATAGCAATGCACATGATCCTGAAATACAAGGAGGCTGGGGATAAAAAAAGTCCTGAAACCTTTCAGAGAAACCCCTCACAACCGCCCCCCCCACAAAGGCAGGCCACATATAAAAGACTGAGAATAAGAATGGCATTAGACTTCCACAGTAACTCTGCAAGCCAAAGAAAATATTGACCAATGTCTTCAAAATTCCAAGGCAAAATTAATTTCAAACTAGAATTCTATATCCAGCTAAACTAGGTGTCCAGGTGTGAAAGGGTAGAATAGACATTCAGACTTTAAAATTTTACCTCACATGCATTCTTTCTCAGGATGCTACTAGAGATTGTGCCCCATTCAAAAGAGGATATTAAGCAAGAAAATGAAATGCATGGGATCCTCGAATGGGCTCTCCATAGGAGACATGAAGGGAAGGCCTGGCATGAGGATGGCTGTGCTGCAGGTTCTTAGGACACTCAGAAAGCCAGGTGGCTCCAGCGGAGGTGTCTGCCAGTTGACCTGAGGTACTGGATAGTGTGGAAGTCAGTATTCACTGACAGGTTAGCACAATTTTGGCTTCAAGTTTCTAAAGATTCAGCTCAAAATGGCCTAAATGATAAATGAAAGTTAATTCTCTCACGTAACAGGAAGTTCAGGGGTAGGGCAGCTCCAGGAGTTGATTTATTCAGCAGTTCAACATCAAAGTTTCAGATTCTTTCAACCTTTTGCTCAGCCATCCTCAGTATGCTTTCTGCATATACTAAAGTCAGCCGGCAGGAAAGGGACTCTGTTCCTTGTGGGTGTGAGACCAAAGGAACCTCTCCCAGGAATATACTTCTGAGGTCCATTGGCCAGGCTCCTTCCTAAATCCATCACTGACTTAAGGAAAGGGCCCCTGGGATTAGTTCATACCAGTGATCTTTTGCATGAACCACACAAGGGAAATGTTTGTATGGCCTGCTGGAGTAAGGGTTGAAGCTGTTAAAATTTCAGCACATCTATGACCCACTGGAGGCACACTAGATGGGACATACTGGAGCCATCGGGAAAGGGGTTGACCCCAGAATAACATGACAGCCTTGCCAGGCTGAAAAAAGAGGAAAATGCCTACTGGAGAAGAGTGTATGCAATTCTGATGGACATTTTGAGAAAAATTAATTATAGGAATGTAGGAAAGTAAGCAAATAAAAATAAATGAGGCAATTTATTAATTCCAAGAAAAAAAATGGTATAGGAAATGTCATGACAACTCACTACTTCCTTCAGTATTTAACAACTGACGTCAACATAATCATATAAACTGAACATCAATTTATCAAAGATGATGCAATTCTACTGGGAAAATGGAAAGAAAAGAAGTAGGGAGACAGTGGTGGTGAAGAGTCTCAATCTGTATTTTTCCATAACAGGAAGTTAAAAGAAAATGCCTAAAACGGATAGATTTTTTTTTTAACCCACAAAAATCATATATTTAAAAACTTAGCAGAGCTAAAAAGAACTGAAAGTCGTTGCTTCTGGGGAGGACAAGGCAGGGGTGTGGAGGAGGGGGGCAGAAGAAGAATTTCTTCTTTCGTTATATGCTTCATAATATTCTAACTTTCCAAACTACGGATGTTATTTTTTTAGTCTTACAGATGGAACAAACAGCAGAATTTCTGTCCCCCTCTCTTTCCAAATGGGCCCTTTATACGGAAAACAAACACACAACATATCAGTCAAACAAAAGCAAGCTCTTCCCCATTGTCTCCCACACCACCCCCAGTTCCCCCAACGGTCCCACCTCTACTCTTAGACCTGGCTGGGTCGTGGTGGTGGTGGGGCGGGGTACAGGGTGGGGGTAGGAGGAGAATCCATGCCAAAAGAGAATTACAGGCATCGGCTCTTTTGCTCCTGCAGGGTTCAATGCACCCACAGGAGAGGGCAGCAGGTAACGTCCTGGCAGCTCATCCGTTGGGAGTAGTCCTGGGACCCAGCGGTCTGGTAGGAAAGGCACAGCTGTTCACCTGAGGTGTAACTGCAGTGACAGACTTGAGTGGGTGTCCTGTTACATCAGGCTACTTAGAGGAAGCCCCAAAGCTCGGTTTCGAAAGCAGTCAGGTATTCATAGGCAGGGCTACATGAGCCTGGCTATGAATTCTTCCAAGGTTTACCAATCCTTCCAAGCTTTGTTGCTTGGAAGCCAAGTGTAGTTTTAAAACTCAAACATCCTACTTGTACTTAAATTCCAACTTCTGCACTATTAACAAATTTGCATATCCTTCTAACTCAAACCCTGTAGGCCTCAACTACTTTAGGGAAAGTCCCAAGAGAGAAAGTCTCACTACAAGGAGCTATTTACTGGGAAGGCCCAGTTTCAAAGACAGGAAGATTTCTCCTGTGACAATGACCTTAACACTGCTACCCACTATGATCCCCTAATTCATTCAGCACATTTCCTCCTAAAAATCTTAACTTCCTGGAGTGGCTTGTTTCAAATAAAATCTAACATGGCACCCAATCCATAAGGCAGATAGGAATGCAGCTGTCCTGGATGCAGAGTATCCCCATGACTGTACCCAACAAGCCCCAAGCCTTCCTGAAGTTCAGTTCAAAACCATTGACTGCCACCTCACTGCTCCCACCAAGGACTCCCCGTGGCTCTCTTTTACCACATCCTGCCTTCCTCTGAAGCAGGAAACTCTCAGGTTCCTCCTCCTCCATGAAGCCCTCTCAGACTACTGTTCACTGAAGATGTCTTCTCCCCTGAATCAATGCACACAACTATTTTATATAAATTTGGTTGGTCTCACTGTGCATGACTGTTAAACATTTTACATTGTAATTTGCTTACTATTCAATATGATAAAAGAGAAGGCTGAGATTTTTTTCTTACAAAGGCCATTTTTAGAAATCATTTTATCAATAGATTCTTATACAAAGAAGAAACACATATACAGAGCACCCAAATTACCAGTAAGATGGACCCTAGCCCTTCTTTTCTGTACTGGGAAAACAGAAGAGGAAAAATGACTCCAACTTGTTCTTAACAGTTTCTACCTAGGCAGTCAGTTTTTCAAGTAGCATTTCTATTCCTTTGCTGGTGTTTTTGCTTTTTTCCAATGTGGGAATAAGGCTTTTCAATCCAGCTTTGACTTTATTTGCAACATCTTGATCAGAGCTCTGGAGAAGGCTGAAGAGAGAAGACAAAAATTAACAAGCAAAAAATTAAATTTCATAAAAAACCCTTAGATCGTCTGCAAATACTAACTTCGCACACAGTACAAAAAATTCATTGACTTGTGAGACAAGTTGTGTAACTATAAATACTTTTTTTTCCCCATTGATCAGATGAATGATGGGGGCTAGTAGCCTATATTCTAAAACCTCATAATAGGTCCTGCTTTCACTTTGTCTTAGGACGAACACCCTGCCTTGAAATTGTTTACTACATTTATTCTACCTTTCCTTCTCCACCTAGAAAAGCTCAGGAGCAAGGACCCTGTGCTTTATTTATCTCATGGTACCATGTACACAGAGCAGTCAAGAAATGCTCACTGAGTGACTGAATTAACATGCGTGAATAGGTGTACACGGAGGAACGGTGGGGAGCATGAAAGGTAAGCAGTTAATGAATGGCCTTCTTACTGAACTCTATTGCCAAAACACTGAGTGAAGGCGTAAAGAGCTTTACCTTGGAGCTTAACTGCCCAGATCTGAAACCTGCCTCTGCCACTCAGTAACTATACAACCAAGAGCATGCTATTTAAATTCTCAAAGACTCAGTTTCCTGGCCTGCAGGATGGGAACAAGAGAACCCGCCTTCTTCACAGGGTTGTGTTTTGAGGCTCACATGATCCTGTATCTGAAGCACCTATAGCCAGAGCCGGGCTCCTAGTTAACCACTTGATCAGTGTGACTCATTCAACAAAATGAGGTCAGCTCTGCTCTCTGAGACCTTGCTGGCGTACTTTATCACAGGTGAGCAGAGCTCTTCAGACTGGCAACAAGTAGGCCCCTTTCTCTAAATAGGGGCCAAGTCACAGGCACTCAACCACCAAACCCCAGGGCCGAATTTCCTATTCTCCCCCGACGTCCTCATGACCACGTTTAAATGCTGACCACTGAAACACAACCCAGAAAGAAATCACTTGGCATGTTTGAAAGACCCTGGTCCCAATAATTTCCATCATGTCCACAGAGAGGAGGACATGCTTGTGGAAGACAAGCAACAAGTACTGCTTGCCACCTGCAAAGCTGAAAAGTAAAGTGCCCTCCTAATAGACTTGTGACTCATAGGTGTTCTCATTTATAAACCTTGGCTAAACGCAGTCATACAGTGCATAATAGTGACACAAGTTAATATTTACTGAACACACGCATTAAACATAATGCTAAGCATTATGTATGCATCATCCCATTTAGTTTTCATAACAACCTAGGATTATTATTAATCTCCTTTTACATCCAAGAAAGTTAAGGCTCAGAAAAGCTGAGTAATTTGCCTAAGGCCACACAGTGAGCTGGGACTGGAACCCAGGCAGTCTGTCTAGAGCTCATGCATTTAAATGCTAGAGAATTATGCTTCCCTGAGTTATTTTTCAGACTGCATACATGGCTGATTTTTTCACCCAGAATGACACTTTGTCACTTACTCTAAAAAAGATTTAGCAAAACAAACAAACAAAAACAAACACGCACACATACACATACTGCACGAGTTTTAAAGAAAAATATAAACAAGGAAAATGACAATATTCCAAACAAGCACATGACAATATTCTAACGCCAAATAAAAATAATTATTATATTAATCAATTATTAATTTTTCTCCAGTTTCACTTCCCTTTAGAACCTCAGATACTTCATGTTCAGATATTTCATATTGCCGTTTTAAGGAATATTCCATAATAAACCGACAGTATCCTTCTCATGTTTGAAATCCACCCAAGGGGAGCTCTGATTGATGAGCAATCTTTAAAAATTAATTTTGTTGAGGATTTTTGCATCTATGTTCATCAGTGATATTGGCCTGTAGTTTTCTTTCTTTGTGACATCTTTGTCTGGTTTTGGTATCACGGTGATGGTGGCCTCGTAGGATGACTTTGGAAGTGTTCCTTCCTCTGCTATATTTTGGAAGAGTTTGAGAAGGATAGGTGTTAGCTCTTCTCTAAATGTTTGACAGAATTCGCCTGTGAAGCCGTCTGGTCCTGGACTTTTGTTTGTTGGAAGAGTTTTAATCACAGTCTCAATTTCAGTGTTTGTGACTGGTCTGTTTATATTTTCTATTTCTTCCTGGTTCTGTGGCACATATACAATGGAATATTACTCAGCCATAAAAAGAAACGAAATTGAGCTATTTGTAATGAGGTGGATGGACCCAGAGTCTGTCATACAGACTGAAGTAAGTCAGAAAGAGAAAAGCAAATACGGTATGCTAACACACATATATGGAATCTAAAATTAAAAAAAAAATGCTCTGATAAACCTAGGGGCAGGACAGGAATAAAGACGCAGACATAGAGAATGGACTTGAAGACACGGGGAGCGGGGAGGGTAAGCTGGGACGAAGTGAGAGAGTAGTATTGACATATATACACTACCAAATATAGATAGCTAGTGGGAAGCAGCCGCATAGCACAGGGAGATCAGCTCGGTGCTTTGTGACCACCTAGAGGAGTGGGAGAGGGAGGGTGGGAAGGAGATGCAAGAGGGAAGGGATATGGGGTTATATGTATACATATAGCTGTATAACAAAGTGAATCAGCAACTATACTCCAATAAAGATGTTAAAAAAAATTAATTTTACGGCATTGCCATAATTTTTAGTTAATTGAGTGTAATGAAAGAATGTGTCAGTAGGTGTTAACATTCCAAATGCCCAGTAAAGAAATTCATGTCAAAAAGTTCATGTTTCGGCTAATAGACTCTGGCTGTTCAACACCAACTGGAAAATTAGCTAATTTTAATGAGAAATAAACTAGTGATCTGTATCACCCATATATTTGGAGATACTGATATACCTAAAAATAATGAATGCCCGTTTGGAATGTACGTATTTGTGAGTATATGTGTACCAAATCAAAATATATATTGAAGAAATGCCTACAACATTTATAAACATATACAAATTAAACTGCATAGTAACTTGCATGTGAAATACTGTGGGAAATTCAAGCTGAGACTGGTGACTGTTTTTCCAAATCTCGATAACACAGGGCAAAAAAAATCAACAGTGATTACTTCAAAACAACACACAAATCTATTTTAAAATGAATATCCTTAATAAAAGGATCTTATCTGGGAATAGAATAGATGGAAATTTCAATGACCTGTAAATTATAAACTCAACCTATGTCCAAACAACAATATACAAGTTAAGCATATGTCTCAATTCACAAATCATCAGTTTTCTATCATCTTAATTAGAAACAAAGATTAATTAGCATGCAGACTTTAATAGAAAATGCTTCTCGAATCCTTTTAGAATAGTTGAAAACAAAGTCAGTAAAGTCAGTCACGATTTGAAAAACAACTCTGTCAGTTTTTACAGGAACAAAACTAATCCATTAAAAGAGAATACAAGTAAACTTTGGTCTAAACCCTAAATGTGGTGAAACAATCAAATGATGCCTTGTGAATGCCCTCATTTTATGGTGCTCGCCATCCGAAAGAGGGCATATGAAAAAAACTGTAAGGACTGATGCAAAGAGTTACATTTGCTCTCTAATATTTGGTGTACTTGTCTAGACCAAGAGTAACTGACAGGAATGCTGGACTATTGGAAACAGACATTAGAACTGAGAAGTAAGTGTGAAGGAAGCATGCTGCGCACCCACGGGCATTGAGGACGAGGACCCTAAGCAGAAAAAAGGCACACTTTCTACACACCTGGAAAGAATAATGGCTCCTCGATTGACACTAGCCCAGGACTTCAGGTTCTTCATACCAACAAGCTCTACGAGTGTTTTTGCAAAACAACCTGTAAAATAAACTTAATGAACATCATATACCCAGGTTTAAACTCCCAATCTCTCTCCCTACTACGCTTAAAGCTGGAAACCTGTTTTAACGAGAAAGCTAATAAAGCGTTCTCACCCAGTATCACTTAACACTAAAAATTCTAGCTCAGCTTTATGCAATGCATTTTTAATACAGCCATTTCTCTCCACTCTGACCCAAATCCTCAGCTATGTTTAGCAGTAATTACTCAAGAGAAACAATGACTTCTTATAAAATGCTCGCTTGGTCATGTTTGCATTTCTTTGTACTATTTAATGATTTAACCCTGACAATTATTCAGGAAGTAAATGTTTGACAGCAGCACCTCCTGTTTGGTTAAAATCAAGTTTCCCCTCAAGGAAAATGCTCACTCAGAAGGTGCCTTGAACACAATTAACGGTCAAATGACTATTCTGGCTTACACCTGGCAATTTCTCCCTACAATACTAAACATTTGTTCACCCATCAAAAATACGATTCATCTTTTGTTATTATAGTATATCTGATTCCCAAGGTCTCAGAGTGTATTATCTTATTCACTGTGCCACCTAAGTTGTTAACTAACTCTTGGACAAAGGAGAAATTCTGAAGACTAGGATCTGGTACAGATGGAGGTGAGGACAACCTATCTTAAAGGCAAACATCTTGGGTAGGTAGCATGTAAAATTCAAAGATACCCAAATATGAGGAGCCTTTAAAAGCCAAGAGGCCCACGACTATTTTACTCTTCGTGGCACATGCTCAAGAGGGACAGAAATCAGCTGGTGAGGCAGACAATGTTTTCCAAAGGTGACCACAACAATATCTCCTGTCTGTGTATGCTTCTAGAATAGTGCCACTCCCTCACCTAAAGGTGGAATTGATGTCTTCTCCTTTCAAACTGGGTGGGCCTTTGTGACTGACTTAATCAAGGGAGTACCGTACAACTGCCCTTAAATAACTTCTGAGGCTAAATCATGAAAGTACCATCCACCTACTTTGTCCTTCTAAAACTCAACCACTATATTGTGAGGAAACCCAACAGCCTAGGGAGAGGAAACGAGGCTGCTGGACTTAGCCACTGCCAGCCATTATGAAAGTGGATAATCCAACCCCAAGCCAAGCAGCCCCAGATGACTCAGAGTAGAGCTTCTGAGCTCCACCAAACAGTGACCAAATGACTGTTGTTTTGAAAACTAAGTTTTGAGGTGGCTTGTTACACAGCAACAGATCACCAAGACAGCTAGCCACTCATTTGGTGCTACATGAAAATGACAAATACATCAAGTTCAAGCAGATGTGTTTTAGGGTTGCCAGGGCAATTTAAATGAGGAGAAAAGTCACTAGAAAATTGCTTGGATTTTAAAAGCAAGACGACTTTTCTGACATAAGCTCAACTATGCACCAACTTTTTAATAATAAAAAGATAATTCAATACATTATTTTTTCTTCAAAATTTATTACCAGAAGCTTCCTCTTTTCTAAAAAATTTACAGTGAGAAATAGGCCCAAGTCTCTGTTCTTAAAGTCAGAGTGAGAAGTAACAGTTCTATTACTATACTGGTTGCCTCATTAGCCATTAGAACTGCAACTTGCCTCAAGACATAAATTCATGATCTGTCACTTTTTTCAGACACAGTAACAGAAAGCCCAAACTGTTTTAACTCAGTGGGAGGAAGCCTCTTTAGTGGCTAAAATACCAGATGGAGTTTGAATTTAGAAAGAGAAGGTCTGGTCAAAGACAGGACTGAGAGGGGAATGATATGCAAGTTTTCACTCATCAATAAATAAAAGATGCTGTCCTCCTCTTGAGAGCTGAGTTTCTACAGAGCAGCTGTAAGGTTTATGAAAAACCAGGAAGTGCCAAGGCCTGGCTTGCTCTTTGGTCATATATATTTCAATGCCAAATAGGCACCAGTTCAAAATTCCCTGATGAGGATAATTTTCTTCTGCTTATCCTTTCCTCAAAACTAAAGATAAATATGCTTTTCAACTGGGATGATGATACTCACAAACTGGCCCTCCTACTCTGCTCTCACCATCCTCAAAGAATAAAACGGCATTTTAGAATGTTGGACAAGCCCGTTTTGAAGTCTGAAGTAGCAGAGGAGGGAGGAGAGAAAGGGAGGGAGGGTGGGAAAGGGAAAGAAAATGAAAGGATTCTAGGAGACAAATTTCCAGGGGGAAAATGCATTATTTGCAACCACTAAATCATTTCTTACTCACAAACTCAACAGACTCTCATTTGAACTTAAATGGCCGGCATAAAGTTCAGGGATGCCAGATATGACTGAAATTCCACATCCAATACAAGAAAAGGTCAAGTTGCACAGCCTACCTTCTCGTCCACTTTCTTTCATCTTTCTATCTTGCTCTATTAACCACTTCAGAACTAGATGTCCTGCAGGATGTTCTGCAACGTGAAGCTGTGAGGGGTCAAGAACATATTAATTAAAAAGCTGTTTTCATCCACTCTATACCACCACATACAGATAAAGTCTCAGGCGAGTTGAAAGTTCCAAAAGGCTTAAGAGGTCTTTATCTACAATGACTACTACACCTGGAGGGACGAGAGATCTACTCCAACCCTGACTGAAATGAAGATGGTTATTCAACAAAGCATGGCCACTGAGGCAGCTCACATTCAGCTTCATGAGCTCCAGTTTGAACAGCTCCACCACCAGGCTCATCTTAAGATCATGCTAACCACTTTCCAGATTGTCATACGTAATTCTGAGGAGCAAAGAAACCGATGGGACAGAACACTACAGCAGAAACATTAAAACCTAAATGCTGAATGATGTTTAAATCATCATTTAAGGTGATGCCCAAGGAGCACTAGCTGATGAGCAGGCCAAGAAAGCATCTTTCAGCTTAACCTCACTCCTTTTCAAGGGCCATACCAACTGCTCGCACAGAGATCTCCTAGGACCTCTCCTTGTCCAGCACGGGAGACAACAGGCCCTGTGTCCTTACAGAGGAACTTTCATTACACATGCATCGTCCCAATTTGTTAACAGGATCTGCCCTGTGAGGGCAGGAGCCAGGGTGTCTCTAAGATCCATGGCCCATTTCTTTCCCCATCTCCTGTGTCAGAAAACAGTGGGCTCCCCATCCATGTGGGTCCATCAGGAGCTCACAACCCAGCACTGGGCGAGGGCCTGGCAGGATCTGGCTTCCGCCTTCCTCTTCCCTTTGCTCACTGATTTCCAGCCCCGTGAGCCTCCTGTTCTCAAACATGCCGAGCTTCTTCCTTCCTCCAAGGCGGCCGCACATGCTCTTCTCTCTGCCTAGAATCTTCTTTCTTCACTCAGCTACCAGTCCTTTGGGTCTCAGCTTAGCTTTCACTGCCTCAGGAAGCCCTTCTAGGACAGGTTGGCTCCCATTTGTATATAATCCCATAGAACCTGGTGTTTTCCTTCACAGCACGTATCTCTATTCTACAATAAATAATCATTTGTGTGCATATTTATTCAAGTATTGTGTTTCCCCAAATGGTATTCTCCTTTTTGGGGGTGGGGGGGTGTTGACCACTGCCTAGCACATATCCAGTGCATGAACCAAGAAACTTAAGATACAAGGCAGAATAACACAAGGCCCAAAAAACACAGGCAGGAGCTTTCAGAAAGAGCAAAAACTTTCTGATTGAGAGGGAATTAAGGGAGACTTCACGGAGAAGGATTCCAAGGCCCTGGAAGGGTTAATAAGGCTTTCTACAGGAAGAGCGCAGGAAAATGGAAACATAAGTAGCACGTGAGGTTGAGAAAAGAAGTACATACAAATGAAGGAAGTGCAAAAGTCCACAGCAAATTCAAAACAAAATTAAGAACACAGAATATACTGGAAAGACAGCCTGGGTCAATCATGGACAGCATTAAGAGGATTTTGTTTTTACTCTACAGGTATGTGGAATCATCAGAAGACAGTGCGTGTTAACAGCACTGTTTTGAATTCGCAATTTCCAAATGTACTGTGGGTATGAGGTGAGTTAATTATCACTAAAATTCTCTTTATAGCAATGTTCCCAGTAATTGGAGTTTTTGCAGCCACTGTGGCTTTCCCGCCTGTCTCACGATAGCACAGTACCTCTCCATCCTTGCCACCAGGATGCAGCTCTGCCGCTGCCAAACTGGCGACGGCATTCATGGCGGGCTGCACATCTCCAATGGCAGCTCCCAGGATGTCAGCCACAAGCACACACGCAGACTTATCCAGCACCACCTCTTGGGCGTGTCCTTGCAGGTAGCTTAGCAAAGCTGGAGAAATGGATTCTAACAGTTCTCGTTGGCGGATCTCTGTATCTTTCTTACTGTGGTAACATGTTGAATGAAGAATTAAGGTAAGATAAATAGCAAAGGAAATATGGTGTTTTATTATCACAGAAATCTCTAAGGGCTTGTAACAGTTTGTGCCACGCTCTGTTGTCTAATTTCTGTTGTGCATGTAGATAAGCAGTTTGAGGGCGGGATATCTGTCTTTCATCTTTGTGTCCCCAGGATCTGAACAGTGCCTGGCACAGAATGAGCGCTCAATAAGTGAAGCTTGCCTTGCGTAATACAAAAAAAAAAAAAAAAAATCCCGAACCAACCCCAAACCAAATAACAACAATAACAAAATATCTTACAACACATGTTTAGACTACTTTATGGATTCTGCTCCCTAGAGTACTTGATTAAGTGGTACCAGTTGCTTTAAACATAAAGCAAAACACACACCCGAGTGCCTACTATGTGCTGGGCCTCAGAGGCGTTCTTTTGGCATGATGCTTTCATTTCCTTTTCAGGATAAAAACTTTAAGAATCTGCCAAAACTACAGGCTTAAAAATGGAATTCACCTTTGGAGTTTTAGAGAGGGAGGGAGCATGAGAGGTGTACACATGTGAGTAGATTTATGGAAGCACATGCCACTCAAAATGAATGAACAATCAGAGCAGAGGAATAAAGGGCCCAAGCCCTTTATTCTACTGTCCCTCACCTGTGTGCGTTACCGTCTCCTTTCTGCAGAACTTCAATGATCTCTCTTACCGTGTGTGCAGGATCTCTGGGGCTTAGTAAATACAACAGGACCTTCCTTCCATATTTGTCATTTACTATGTTAGGCAAGGAATTAATAATTTCCTGTAAAATTATAGAAACAAAAAGTGAATCTATATGCTTAAAATAAACTATGATTGTAATCTGAATGGTAAAGAAGGATACATAACTTTTCCCCAATGTACTTAATGAAAAATGTACAGCTAGTTCTGAAGTCGTCTCATTAAAGCACAAAGAAATTTACACTCGGAATACAGAACTGCCTCTCTACTGGGACTAGCATTACTGAATAATCCATTTGTATTTAACCGACCAAGCTCAAGAACTTAAAAAATATATGTCTAAAGGAGTTATCTCATTCATTGTAACCAATATTTCTTAGGCCACTATTACTAGGGACATTGCTTGCTGGGCCCACTGAGCAGATACAGTTAATTTGCAGCTGCACTTAAATGGAGCAGCAGCATTGATGACGACCATTCTTATTAGAATTTCCCTAATGAGATGTATGTGAAAGGAGATAAAGAAACTCTGTTAAATAGAACAAGTGGATAAAGGCTTTTAAAGTTAGGTTACTTACTCATGGCAAATGAAGGCTGTTTAAGTATCACGTGGAAAACAAAAAGAGCGGGGAGGGAAATAAATGCAGAAAGACTCCATGGAGCAGTTACAAATAATTGCATTCTATGACATCTCCAATCAACTTAACAAGAACAGTAACCTCCTTTTCTAGTTGTTTGATTAAGGAACAAAGGCAATGTCATCCCCACCCCAACTGAGCTCCTGTGTAGATTTGGCGATATTTGCAAAGACAGAAAAATCATTGTTTAAAAATTCGTTTATTCTACGTATGCAACAGAAAAATCATTAGTCTTTCCCTCTCTAACATTCCTATTTCTTATAGCAAACCTAATATTCGAAGCCATGTGTGTCTGAACACCAGAGATTCTTCAGAACTGGCTGGGGCCACAGAAAGAATTCAGTCCAACCACCCAGCTTTACAGATGAGGGGCCCAGAAAGGGGGGAGGTGACCTGCAGGAGGACATGAGAGTGGCAGTGCAAGGGCTCTCACTAGTTCTGCTCCTCTGACTTCAACTCTAGTCTCTTTCAAAGAAAACATACACCCCATTCTTAAGGAAAGGAATTCTCCGGGAGATGATATACTCAGATTTGCTATTCTCTTGAGTGCCTACTGATTACAACGAGATTAGTAATTTCAGTGCAGGAAAAAAAAACAAAAAAACAAGCTAGAAAATAGGTGCAACAGATCGAACCACCTGAAAATGAATATAAATTTTAACCACTCAGAAAAAATGACGTAAAATTTCAGTACTAAAGGGGAAGACAGAAAAAAATGTACAGCACTTCATGGGGATGGGAGCTCTTTTGCAATTTCAAGGTAAACGTGTCCCAAAGTAGACTCAACATATGCACTTTTGAAAAAGAGGCATTTAGTGCCACAAATATGGACTACTTTTAGTGTGGCTTTAGTTAAGGTTTAACCAACTCATAAAAGAAGATAAATGCTTTAATCAGTTTAAAGAGGAGACTGAGAATGATACATAGCTTAGGCCAATTTGTACAATCATTAAAAAATCTCCACAACTTTGCTGTCCTTAAAAAACCCTTTGGGATATTATACCTTTAAAACACCTGCTTTGGGCTTCCCTGGTGGCGCAGTGGTTGAGAGTCCGCCTGCCGATGCAGGGGACACGGGTTCGTGCCCCGGTCCAGGGAGATCCCACATGCCGCAGAGCGGCTGGGCCCGTGAGCCATGGCCGCTGAGCCTGCGCGTCCGGAGCCTGTGCTCCGCAACGGGAGAGGCCACAACGGTGAGAGGCCCCCGTACCGCAAAAAAACAAAAACAACAACAACCACCAAAAAAACACTTGCTTTAAAAAAAGAAAAAAAAAGGGAGGGGGGGAGTAGGCAGTGAAGAACATAAATGGCTGCTATTTATTTTTAATTAACTTTTTTTTTCTTGGCCTAGCAGCAAAAGGGGTGGCATGAAGCCAGCAATGTAGTCTTCAATGTACTTGATCTTCTCTGTGGGTTCTATACTTAAGGACTAGTGCATCGTACCTGGCTTGGGCAGAAATGGTTTCACCTTAACACAAAATGCATATAAAATCCATGCAAAAATACTACTCAAGGACTAGTGCCCAAATTCACTGAACTTTTACTACCTTTCAGTCTGTAATTAAGGAATTTAGAATCTACACTTATGTTGGTCTAAGATTCTTAAAAGAGTGCAATGTTTATAAACCAACAATCATATGAAACTAAAAAATGTTTACTTAAAAATGTGATATCAGTTAATTCTCCCCCAACTCCCCCTTATTCCTGGTTTCCTACCATCAAAAACATTCATCTCGGAAAAAATAAAACAGTATGAGTGATGCTATTTTATGGAGTACTAATTCATTTCTCTTTAACCTGGTTCACACACAGAGGAGAGAAATTTCTAGATGATCACCTGGAGAACACTGAATGTCAAAACACGTAGAGATAGGGAAGAGGCAGCTACAGAGCAGCTGATTTGTGCTGAATTTGGTCTTTGGGTTCAAGCTGTGTAGCCGTTGGAAAATCCTTTAACCTCTCTATACATCAATTCCCTTATCTGCAAAAGGAAATGATACACCTGCCCCACCTGTGGGCCACTACCAGGAGCAAATCAGAAAATTCACACTATAAACTGGAAACTGCTATAAAGTAATTATCTTCATATGGAAAACACCCATCAATATACAGCATCTTTAACTATGGAGGTTAAATAAAGCTGATGGGAGTCATGAGTTTGGCATCCTCAAAAGAGCAAAGAGCCCCAACAATGAAGGTTCAAATGTAAAGGTTTTCAATTCACTTTCCCTCTTACTTAGAGAAAATCACAAGAAGGACCACTGTTGTAATATCTTCCCCTTATGCTTTACTCTAAAGCAGGTATGTAAACAGAAGAAAAGTGCAAGAAGAACAAAAGATCTCCCTTGTGAAAATGTGTGGCCATTCTAACCTTGTGTTGGACGCTTGTCAGATTCTTTGGCATTCTTGTTTTGCCAACCCTCTTTTAAAAGGGAAAGGTAAAGGTCAAAATGAAAGGTGAACACTGGAAGTAAGGTTAGAGCACATATGCATTTTCAGTGGAAGAAAGAAATGCAAAATGCAACACACATTACTGAGCACCATGCCCATCCATGGTGCGTGTTCCTCTATGGAAGGTTGTGTGTGAACAAAAAGAAACACAGGCTGACCTTAACCTTAAAGAGCTAAAATCTAGCAGAAGAGGCAAGAGGAACTCTTTAAAAGTTAAAAATAAAAATAAGAGATTTAAATAATGGATAAAAACAGAAGTGTAAGAAGAAGGTTAGATCACTGGCAGTGACTGCAGCCTCTTGAGTGTTTTGTTTTAAAAAATGCGGTGATTTTATACAAAAGTCCAACTTTTTGGCTGCACTCAAAAAATTGGGATGAGGTTATTAAACGTACAGAGTTTTGGTTTTGCAAGATGAAAAAGTTCTGGAGACTGGTTGTACAACAGTGTGACTACACTTAATACCACTTAACTATATACTTAAAAATGGCTAAGATGGTAAATTTTATCACAGTTAAAAAAGAAAAATAAATTGGAAGATCTATCACCATGGGGCTCACACTCCCAGAGGCTGGAGCCAAGGGTGGCTACCGCCTTGGACAGGGCATGTGCATTCTAGTTCCCCCCCCCGCCCCTCCCAACCTGGCCTGCCTCACTCATTTACCTGCCTGGTCAATGAATGTTTCTGAGTTTGTAAGCCCTGGGTCGGATCACAATTAACTGCTAAATGAATAGACGGCAAAGACAAAAATTATTAGAGTTGAGAGAATGGGGAGAGCAGGTCTGGCTGAGAGATCAGAGAACATTATCTGGAGATTGAATTGGAGCCTGGTCTTAAAGAGAAAAGGAGTGTTTGTTAGGCTATGATTTCAACCTGACATTTCAGGAAATCCAGTTACTCTGAATAGAATGCTTAGCAACACTAAGTTTTCTTGGCTATTTTTAAAAGCACTGCATAATGCAACAGGTTTTGTAGTGGCTGCGTGGGAAACACAGACACATGACTCTATATAACATACGGGCAGCATATCTGGCAACCCACAGTTCTGCTAAGTAAATGCCTTTGAGAAACGAGGAGACATACAAGAATGCTTACAGAATTATTTGGAATAGCAAAAAATAATATGAATGTTTAAAGTTACAAATACTATAAACAACCTAAATGTCCATCAACAGAAAAAATGGAAAAATCAACTGTGGTATATTCATAGAGTAAAAAACTATTTGGCATTGAAAAATGAATGGTTTAGAACAGTGGTGGGTAAACCATGGCCTGTAGGTCAAATCTAACCAGCAGCCTGTTTTTGTACATCCTGTGAACTAAGAATATATATATATATATATTTTTTTTTTTTACATTTTAAAGTGTTGCTAAACAAAAAACAAAGCAAACAAGAATATGCGACAGAGACCATACACGACTCACAAACCCTAAAATAATTACTATCTGACCCTTTATTAAAAAAGCTTCCTGACCCCTCCTTGATGATGACTCACAAACATAATGCCAAAAGGAAAAAGCAAGTTGCAGGAGAAAACACACATCACTTATACAGAATTTGTAAACATGCAAAGTAATACCATAAACATCTACATATAGCAAAAGGATAAGGGAATGCATGCAAATAGTAAGCACCAATCCATCACAGCAGAGGGGGGCGGGTACAAGGATATGCAAAAAAAAAAAAGGGCTTGAACTTCAACTGTATTTGGCAAGTTTTACTTCTTCATGCCCGATCAGGTGGGAGGCTGGGTGTACACTGTTATTATCCTTTATATCTTCTGTATAGCATCTTAAAGATACTACACTTTAAAGTATGTATCAATATTCACTCTCAAAGAGCAATTGGCCAGTGTACTTACTTCCTTTTTAGAGGATCACTGCTGTCAAAGCAGTTGCATCATACCAACAATTCCAGGGTCGGATTTTATAAGTATGTTTATTTTAGAAAGTAAAGTAAGTGGGAAACAGTGTGTATCCATTTTGAAAGGTGAGGGCTCAACTGACCAGGCTGTGATTTCAACCTGACATTTGCAGGAGTCTGGTTACCCTGAACAGAATGTTTTGCAACACTAAGCTTTCTTGGGTATTTTTTAACAAGCACTGCATACTGCAACAGGTTTTGTGGTGGATGGCGGGGAAAATGCAAGAGCAATTAGCATTCCATAATTTTATCACTGGCTATGTAGTTTAATGATACACAAAACCCGTTGAGCATTTGTCAGCTGGAGGCAAGGCATCAGCAAATGAGGCCATTCTCAGGGAAAGCTGCCCTAAGTATGAGAAAGTCACTAGGAATGTGGGTTAAACAGTTGTGCTTATCAAACTGATAAGCACAAAGAATTAAAACTGTTTCAACAGTGACTTTAAGTGGGATAAATCTTTGGAAAAAATTAATCTAGCAGACAATTGTGGCAAATCCTGAAGGAAGTTTGGTTTCTCTTAAAATCCATTTGGAACAGTTATGCAAATTTTAGTTGTCATGAAAATATTAAACAAAAGCAAGCTTTCAATAGCCCAGCCTGTTTCCATTTTCATGAAACAACTTTATTCATTAGCTAATCTATGGCCTCACATTTCTGTCACTGGAATGAAAAACAATCATTATTGATTGGAGTCAAAAGGGTAATAAAGTCACAAGGAACATGTCAAAATACTCAGTTTGTAACATCAAAGTCCTGCCAACTTGTTTCTTCCCACAATCCTATCCCAAAGAAAGTCATCACAATCTTAAAACAGTCAAGGGGAAAGCTGGAAAGTGACAGCAAGGGCATGAGAAATTCACACACTGGGACCTACAGCTGGCATCTGAGAAAACAAATCTATCCCTTCACCAGTTGGGACATTTTTCCTAATCAGCCAGCTCTAACTGGTCCAGATAGGCTACAAAGAGGCCACAGCACCACCACAGGCCAACAGGTAAATTCTCTTTCTGAACATCCATATGCTTCTCCCTGCAGATGGTGTGGAAGTCGCTTTTGTCACTAAGATTTCTGCAAGGGCCCCATCCATGTGTACCAACTTTCAAATGAATAATCTGTGTCTATACAGATGATGTGCTTTTTAAAACATTTCCAGGTTCGGTCCCTGCTACCAATGTTGCAATTTCTTATGCCTTCCCCCGAAACCTCTATCATACACCTAACACAACTTGCATGCTAGAAATAAAGGAAGGAAAAATAAAAGAGGATCACAGAATCTCAAGTCAGAAAAGGGGCAGTCATTGCAGAAAGAAGAAAATTATTTCATAATACAGTTTTTACTTGGGTGTAGTTTTTATAAGAGAACAGCTCAGTTGTTCTGAAGGCAAATTTAGGGTTAAGTAAACCGCATTCAATTATTACCACTTTATGGTCATTATACCAGGCTAAAAAAACTGAAATGAAAAAAGGAATCTAGTATTCTAATTTTAGTTAAAAAGTTTAATCTAACTCTACACCAGCTTTCATGAAATCTCTAAGAAGCCATCACAATTGAGTGAACTTCATCAGTTTTTCTTCTCCAGTTCAAGTCAGGACAGATGTATTGATAAGCTATGCAGAGGTAGTTTCTCCAAAGGGAGAGAAAAAAGGTCATGGATAGCTTCTGCCTGGGTGGACATGAGTTCTTGAATAACTGAAGAATTACTATGAAAATAAATTTCCGATCAAATCTAAACACTGCATCGCTAATTTTTCTTTTAGTATGTTACGTGGTCTAAAAAGTCACATTACCCTAATTTAAGCAGTCTTTTACATATTTAAAGCAACATTAATTAGTAATAATCAAGTAACAGGATTATGGTTTGTATGGGAATAAAGCAACCCCCCAAAATAGGCTTAAGGCAACTAAAAAATAAGAAATACTGGCAGAAAGTATTTACACATTTCAAAGTCTTTACACATCTACGTGTGAAATCAAACTTACACACTCACAAATGATGTATCAATTTAAATTAAATTCAAGACTATGTGAATTACTTACTGATATGATTATCTGCTTCACAAGCTTAGTATCATCAATACAGTCAAACGCCGCCAATAAAACCAAGTGGGAGTATTGGCCCTGTAGGAATTGAAAGCCAGTAAAGGTTAAAAAAATACACAGATTCTCCCTTTTCTTCCACCTAAGGAGTTACGTTAAAAGGTTATCACCCTGGGGCTTCCCTGGTGGCCCAGTGGTTGAGAGTCCGCCTGCCGATGCAAGGAACGCGGGTTCGTGCCCCGGTCCGGGAAGATCCCACACGCCGCGGAGCGGCTGGGCCCGTGAGCCATGGCCGCTGAGCCTGCGCGTCCGGAGCCTGTGCTCCGCAACAGGAGAGACCACAACAGTGAGAGGGCCGCGTACCGCAAAAAAAAAAAAAAAAGGTTATCACCCTGACGACGTATCCAGCATAATATAAATGAGATGGATAAAAGTCATTCAAAGAAATGTGCTCTTGTATCAGGACCTAGTTAATTATATTCTAGGGTGAGTAAGAAAAAGACAGAAACAGGTAAGCACATCCTTCAATATTAAATAGCTGAGACTCATTTTTTTAAACTAATCAGAATATAACACCTCTCAAAAATAGGTATCCTGTTAATGAATAGCTACTTGAAAATTAAACTCAAAGAAAGTTACAGTGACAAGTGGGAAAAAAAAAACTAGAGTACTGCAATCATAAAAAAGAAAATATATAAACTTAGATATAATTATATATACAAAATATACATAATACACATACACAGAAAATCCTGGAAGGAAAAACACTGTCACCACTGTGTTGAAGGATTACAAATAATTTTTCATTTTCTTTGGTATATTGTACAATTTCTTTAAAATAATCCTATATAATTAAAATAGAAACACTAAAAAAAAAAAACTAGAATAATATACTTATATAATGAATATGAGAATAAGATAAAAACAATTGCTTTCAAAAAGGAGAGCAGCACGAGATCATACAAATATACATTAGGACGTTCAGAATCATTCCTATTGAAATAACAGAATTTTTTCCATGATGCTGATATTGTTCCAAGATTTAAAGAACTTCTACTTTATGTTAAAAAAAAAAAGAAAGTTTTCAAAGCTTGTGGCATATTCCTTTTAAGTATCCCAGATGATGATATAAATCTTTTTTTACTTTAAGAGGGATTTGGCTTTTGCTACCAGCCAACACTCATTCAGAGCCAGATCCGATGAATATGGCAGGAATAACATCTCAACTAGAAACAAACTGGAGAAAAACAACAAAGGTCTAACATTTTTACTATATATAAGACCAACAATCAACTAAGAATGGGCTAAGAACATGAAGAATCAGTTCACAAAGAGAAGTACAAATGGCTTTAAGCATATGAAATAATGCTCATTAATTAAGGACTATAATTAAAACAATGAAATACTATATCCCACCTGTCCTATACACAAAAGTGAAAGCCCTTGATAATATACTAATTTGGCAAAGGTTTGGGGAAGAGCAGGCACACTTTTATGTTGCTGATGAGACTGTAAAGTGGTTCAACCTCTTTAAGGGCAACTGACAACAACACTGAAAATTTTAAATGCATGTACTTTCTGATCCAGCAACTGTAGTTCTAGGGAGGTATCTTACAGACATGCTCCCACATATGAACAAAGGATATGCCCTGGAGAATTATTTGAAATAAAAAACTAGAAACTAACATGTCTGATAGTAGGGACTTGTTAAATGAACTATGGAAGTCATATAATAAAATATCATAAAGTCATTAACAGGAAAGAGGTAGATAGATGAATATATATTGACATAAAATGACCCCTGAGATGAATTAAATGAAGGAAACAAAGTAGAGAATGTTGTGCATATAGTACACAACCACAGGTTTCTGGTTTTTTAAGTCCCACACACGGAAACACACCCAAGCGTAAAATTTCTCTGGGTGAATACAGAAGGTGGAACAGAATTTAAATGAGAAATAGACAATTCTACAATTATACTTGGAAGTTTGAACACACTTCCCCAGCAACTGATAGAACTAGACAATGATAAGTAAAATCAGTAAAAACATCCATGATATGAAAACACTACAAACCATTTTGATCTAACTGACGTTTATAGAGGACTACACCCACATATTCTTTTCAAGACATTAACGTAGACCATCCATTGGTCCATAAAATAAGTCATTATAAATTTCAAAAGACTGAAATAATACAGAGTATATCAAGAAATCCCTAATATTTGGAAATTAAATACTTCCAAATAACCCATAGACCAAATCCATGGGTTGTATTAGTTTATCTCACCCCTTTAGAAGCAACTCCTTGAGATAAAAGAGACACTGAATTGTTAATTTGCTAACATCGCAATACCTTGTGGGGATGAGGTTGTCCAAAAAAATTTACTGTTGATGTAACCAAATTGTAAAATTAAAACAATCTAATTTTATTACAAAAGAGTGTCTTTTACTATCAATACCTTTCAGAACTTTTTTTCTGATGTCATTTTATTTTTATATTTTTATTTTATATTGGACTATTGTTGATTTACAATGTTGTATTAGTTTCAGGTGTACAGCAAAGTGATTCAGTCATACATATACATATATCCATCTTTTTTTCAGAATCTCTTCCCATCTAGATTATTACAGAATATTAAGTAGACTTCCCTGCGCTATACAGTAGGTCCTTGTTGATTTTCCACTCTATATAGTAGTGTGTATATGTTAATCCCAAATCCTAGTTTATCCCTCCCTTCCACCTAATAGAACTTTCTATTAATGTTCTATTTTTACTCATTTCTGATTTAAAATATTCAAACTAAAATGTTATACAAAAAGATTTACTTAATGATGAATTATGAATCATAAAATTCTCTCATACTCTGAAAACTCCTCACTAGAGAGCCTCTTATTTCATTTTGTTACAGCCAAGTTAGCTGCCTTCTATGTGTTTTTATACTAACTCTCTTCCTAGTCTTGAATCCTACAGAAGACAACAGATATGTATACAATCACAGAGCACCAGTTTATCTGAATTTGAATTAGCATTTACTGTATCAAGTACTCACTAGATGCCAGTAGTTCTTATTGGATTTTTCAGAGGGAAAAGTTGTTGATATCACTAATTTTAGTTCACCTGTAAATTAGAAGCTATAAAACATAATATATAAAATAGTTCAAAAATTGAAAACTAATGCTTACTACTACATATATTTTAGAATTATTATGGAAAACTATTTAGTATTTAAATACACAGAAATACTATTTTTTGAGACAACTAATCCTTTAGAAAGAACTTTTTATATCCTCCAATTTCATTCAAAAAGCTGTTACACCATCTCCAAAAGATTCCAAAGAATTATAAAACTTAACTAAAATTTTCTTTGACCACACTACAAATTTAATCTAAGAAAAGAGACAAGTTTCACTTTCTGTTATGTTTTGGTGGTAATGAAAATTGGTAACAAGTTTCTGAAGTGCAATTTACCTAGAGACTAAATATCAGGTCTTCAAAACTTATCTAATAAAAATGGAAAATTGCCACAATACAATGTTAAATGAAAAAAGGAGAAATTCATTTTGTGTAAATTTAATAATATATAAAAAGACATGCATATGCATAAAATAGATTATAACAAAATGAAACAATAAATAATTTTCTTGGTAATTTTCTGAACTCTTCAAATTTCCTATAATAGATATAAATACATTTTATTGTTAAAAATAGTTAAAAGAAATACATAGGTTTTTTTTTTTTTAAGAATTTTTTTTTTTTGATGTGGACCATTTTTTTTTAAAGTCCTTATTGAATTTGTTACAATATCGCTTCCGCTTTATGTTTTGGTTTTTTGGCCCCGAGGCATGTGGGATCTTAGCTCCCCAACCAGGGATCAAACCCACACCCCCTGCACTGGAAGGCGAAGTCTTAACCACTGGACCGCCAGGGAAGTCCCCAAGAAATATGTAGTTTTTATACTTACATTAGCCACCTTTTCAACATAAGTCTTCATTGTTTTCACAATCACTTTCCTGTCCTTAAAAAAGAAAAATTGTCTCAATGAACTTATAGCTACAGGTTTAGTTACGGATTAGTTATAGATTAAGGTATTTCATAGTTAAAAATTTTATATAATATTAAACTTTCATTGGAGTGGCATACTTTTCATTAGTGAAAATAGTTATTCAACCAGAACCAAAAAATGCAATACACTATAAGTCCTCTCAGAGCTATTATAATCTTAGACTTCTATGTGACAATCCATTGAGACATAAATATGGAACCATAAAATTATTAGTTGCAAGGCAAACCTAGTGAAACTACCTCCTTTTATAGTAAGAACTGAGATCCCTCTTCCAATGTCTGAACTGTCTTCAAATGCATAAAGTCTAGCATACAGATGGCATTCAATACATTACTTGTTGAGGAGAAATTAAATTTGTATTAAAAAGTGGACGAAAGAAAAAAGTGGACAAAATACAACTGTCTTTTAAAGGCAGAATTATACCAATCAAGGAAATGAGGATAATTTCTGTTAAGCTTCTATAATTAATATGGTTCATTAGTTTTTCCCTCAAAGTACTTAAGAACCATGGGAGCCAATGCAAAGCTGCTTATTTTCTTCTCTTTCCTCTCCCTCTCCCACAACAAGATCATTAAATGAGGAATCAAAGAGGCTGACGGGTACCAAAACTTTTATAAACTTAAGCCTAACATAAATAGTGTGTTTACTTGCTTGACACACGCCTCCCCATATAAGACAACCCAAGGTTTTCAAACTTTAAGAAGACTCCAGTAGAGAAGAAACAGAAGGCTCAAAGGGGAGCCAGTTTCTGTGAGGCCTTGAGGCACAACTTTGCAAAGATAATATTGTTGTGCGCAAGAGGGCAAAACCCCAAGGAGACCGAAAAAGTCTAAGGAAAGGCAAGTCAAGCCCTGACTGACTGACGCTTACCTTGGGCGTGCCGTGCCACAGGCAGTGCATGGCCACCCTGGCGCCATCGTGTGTGTGCGCCAGGTATACCACTGCTTCTCGGATGGCTTCAATCACTTCCTGGGGAATAAATGCAGTTCAGGGCTTTGGTTTACTCTTTCTTTTTACTTTCTCACAGTCTGTCTACTAAGGAGCAGTTATGCACAGAGAATGAAAGGCAGAAAGTATAGGTAGCAAACAATTTAACAACCGCTTCCTGGAAACATTCTTTTCCATCAAGAGCAGTAAGTACTGCTGGCAGGCAATTTCTATTAAAATCCCTGAGTTCTACCAACGTCTGTTCAAAAATGTACGCATACGGTTGACCCCGAGTGCGATTTGAACCAGGCGGGTCCACTTACACGCAGATTTTTTTCAGTAAATATGTACTATAGCACTACACCATCTGAAGGTGGGTAAATCCGCAATCAAAACTGCTGATGGGGAGGGCTGATAATAGGCGGATTTTCCACTGAGGGGGACGGGAGTGTCGGCACCCCACCCCCCGTGTTGTTGTAGGGTCAACTGTATACGTATAGTATATTCTAAAGGACTTCTCAAGAAAAAAAAAATCTAAGAGTTGGCTGTGGGAAGAAGGGAGTTTTTAATTAAAAAGCCAGATAAAATAAATAAAATGTTCTTCCCTAAAAGAGTCATGTATATAACAAGCAGAAAACCAAAACACTAATTTTGTCTGAAAAAGTTTTTCTTTTTTAATTTATCACTGGATTACCTCTGGAAATCATATTAATAATTCTTAAGACACTTAAATAACATTTCTCTAAGAAATATTTATCCCTACATTAACATTTAGACTAGGTCTTCACTAGGCCTTTACTCAATGACCTTTAAGTAAAAACCCAATCACTAATTTATTACAAGGTAATTTTAGCTTATTTTTAATCTTTATTCCTTATTTTCAATGTATATAATTTCATAATTATATTTGGAAGTCTAGCATATAGGACATAAGTGAGTTCTGCCAGCTAACAGCTGCGGGGCCAGTTTAGTCCATTCCCGATTTAAAAATTTATATTAAATAAATACAAAGTCTCCTGCCAGGAAGGAGAAAAGTGGCCTATTTTTATCAATAAGGAACAGCAATTTCACCCTTAACTATCTCACAATCTTTTTCCAGGATAAATCTCAAGAACATAGCTTTCAGCTTACATACCTGAACTTATGAATCTCTTCAAAGCTATCCAGTTGGGGAGTTAAACATATATTCCAATTATGCTTCTTTTACCTCCAAAAGTTTTTTTTTTTAAAGTCTCTCTATTGAAAATGCCCCCGGGGCCACGAAGACCTGTCTGATTATTTTATATTCACACTAAGTTCCCAATGATTTTTTGCTATTACTAAAACATATTCAACATTAAAAAGATAAAGACTTTCTACTGTGGAATATATTCAAATGATTATTTTCTCAGTTCTGAAAATAAAGTCCTGCCTCAGTAAATCCAGAACTGTGAGATGCTGTGCTGTGCCAGAGCAAGAGAGAAATCCCCTAAAGAGAATCAGCAACTGCTGTGGCCACTGAACCACACGCTTAGGTGGGCGGCTGCTCTTGGAGAACTATTTTGCATGTCAGTTTTGAGAGGGTCAAAATTCCTATGAATGTTTAATCTGGCATATTTGTTAAAAAGACGCGAGTCTCGTTACTTGGTTATCGCTTATTATTAGAATGAGAACAAATGGATGATGAGTTCACAGTATGATGAGGCAAGCAAAATCCAGGGGACTAAATGAATTCTCATCTATATTCCCATCACTGACTTGAAGGGCAGTGCAATTTACCTTCGCTCTCATGTAAGGTCCAGTTTTTCACGGTTCACTTAGTGTCCTCCCGTAACCTTTTAACACCGATATAATTTTTTGTTTTTGTATCAATACAGGTGAATTTTGAACTCCCTGAATGCTGAATATTCCTCCATGTTAGTTAATTTTCTGATTAGGTTAAGCTAGAGGATGCTCTCTGGATTATAATTAAAATATAAAAATTCAATGAAACTGATAAAATTATGGTCAATTCTACTGTCTTTCTGGCAAAAATCTAAATGGAATTAGTAGACTTCTTCAAAGGGAGTTTAGCACATTATCTTTTCTAAATAAGGAAACAATTCTTTAAAATTTTCAAAAGCCAATATACATCAAAGCAGTATTCCACATTTTTTACACAGTTCTACATGTTTCAGTTTAAAACCTAAAGCCAAGAACTTACTGATCTCAGCTTTGGGGGTGCATAGGTAAAAAAGTCCAAGAATACTTTATGTACCAGTGAGTGCTTAATCACAGCTTCTCTGAAAACAGAATAAAAGAAGAAAAAAAAGTCAGAAATGGTACCACAATAGTACAGAGATAGGTAACCTCGGTCGCCCTAAAATAATCAAAACAAGTGAAATGGTTTTAGCAAATGTCATTTGTCATAAATCATATCTTTAGCAATACTAAGACTAAAAAAAAAAAACTTTTAGACCTATTAAAATATATATAGGTCTTGGTTGCCATCTACAACCAAGACCAGAGTACAAGTTTCTAGTATCTAATCAGCAAATATGAAATTATCATTCAAAATACACTCAACTTTCTTAAATAAGGACATCTATATTCTTTTACACAACAATGGACATGTGATTAGAAATCCACATGTAGACTATTTTTTAATGGCTATTTTCTTTCTGTCAAGCCTCCTTTATAATGCGTCAGTTTCACAAAATCATTTTAGCAGTTAAATCCTAAATAGATCAAAACAGTATCAGCAATCGCAACAATACCTAATTGATCCAAGCCTCCTAGTGTGACACTTGGTGAATTCAGGTGTACAGTGGAGGCTAATGATCAGGCACCAAAGACTTCAAGTTCACACGGAGTATCCATGTAGACGGCAAAAACATGTTGTTTTTAACGGCAAAGCACTGTTCTGAGCACTTTGGAAATATTAGCCCATTTAATCTTCATAAAACTCTATGAAATATACACTATTATTATCGTAATTTTACAGATATGGAAACTGAGGCACAGAGAAGTTAAGTTGCCCAAGGTCACAGTTAGTAAATGAGAGAGGCACCAGGATTCACACCCAGAAAGTCTGGTCCCAGACGTAATGCCCTAACCACTCCGCTGTGGTACAAATTTCACGAAGGCCAAATGCATGGGCTTTTAGGTCTCACAATCCAATTTAAATAACAGACTATAACTGGGAAACTATCCACCTTTTCTCTGCAAAGGCTATGTAAAAATTTCCTCCTTCAATTTCCTCTGCCATTTGTTAAGAAAAAAAAAAAAACCAGCTTCCTTACTTCTGGGCCATTGGAGTTAGAATCTGTTTCATTTCATCCATGATAAGCTCTAGTTTTTCTGGTTGTACCTCTAATACTTTGTCCAGAGTTGGGTGATCTGCTGACTGCAACAGAAGAAAAATCAAACCCCTCTAAATTTAATCAAGTTTCTTCAACTTTAGAACAAAGAAAATCAATTACTGTCATTTTACATAAACTTAAATTTTTAGATTTGCCATATTTACATAACAAAAGCCCCACTGTAGATACACTCACAGGGTAATTTTTGATTATCTAATTCTCATTCTATACACCCACCATCGTACTTCCAGAGCCAAGCTAAATAACCAACCAGCCAGTTCATACTAGCCAAGCACCTAGCATGTGCCTAATCATAAGATCAAGTAGTCAGTTACCAAATTCTTGCCACCAGGTTTTGTAATTAGCTGGATATTCCTATAGTGACTGTGACAAAGGAAACAAAGCACTAAGTTCAACCCAGGGGCTGAAACTGACTAGCAGAAGAAACTCAGGAATCAATCCATCTCCTTTGAGATAAATATGTGTATTTGTATCCTAAAGTCTGAAACTGATCCTTTAACTGTCCTAGTCCCATTACTAGCCTTGTACTAAATCCAAGGTTGCGTCTCTCTACTCTGCTTCCTCTCTGCATATGACCCGGGGAAGGGTAATCCACAAACATGAGGAAACATGGGAGAAGGCAGCAACAGGGAGCTCGATGCCCTTCAACCAGAGCTGGTTAAGGGGTGTTTACAGAGCTTCACTGTCTATTAAGAATCTTCTTCCTTGGTCTATCTGACTGTAGAAACAGAAGTACCAAAGCATTACACACAGTACTTGGGAAGGAGTAACAAAAGTAGTTTTAATTTATAGGGGATTTAAAGATTGTGCTCTGGGAGAATGAAATGTAAGTATGATCACTTGCTTATTACACCAGAGACAAAATAATCCAAGAGGATAAAGGCTATGAGGTAGTCTTTAAAGGAACAACCAAAGTAAAAATACATTCTGAAAACAGGGCATTGGAAGGTAAGGAACAGCACACAGAGAAAGTAAAATCTCTAGGAAAAATGTCTTGAAATGTCACCTTGTAAAGCTGAAATGTGTTCCCATAGAGCTCTTCTGTCAGCATGTTCCTCTGCTCCAAGACGGCTTTATCATTGTAGGCGTACTCCACGATGGCGGACGCTTCCGCATGCCGCAGCATCTTCCTCACGTGACCTCTAAAGCTTCTCATTATCTCTGCAATCTGTGCTTTACTCCTAAACCCAGCGTGACCATGGGAAAAGAGAAGTGATAGAAGGAGAAAGATGGGTGGCAACAAAACATAACACACTTCTTCTGAGACCAGCTCATCATTGTGTGTGGAGGTGGCTAACACAGAGAAATGCTACGAGAAGGAAAATCAAATTGCCTTGTATTTCTACCTTGTATTTCTTTCTTTTCTTTTTCTGTTTTTTTTCTTTTTTTGTCCATGCTGCACGGCTTGCAGGATCTTAGTTCCCCAGCCAGGGATGGAACCTGGGCCCTCAGCAATGAAACTGCAGAGTCCTAACCACTGGACCGCCAGGGAATTCCCTCTACCTTGCATTTCTAAGTGACTCGGGGGCCAGCCTGCCTAGGTTTGAAAAGACCTAGGGTCTTACCAGCTGAAAGACCCTGGGCAAGGTATTTCACCACTCTGTGCCTCAGCTTCTCTAGTCATAGAATAGAAAGAATAAGGTTGATGTGAGGATAAATGAGTTAAGATGCACTGAGAACTGTAACCAGCACACAGTAAGTGCTCAATAAATGTCAGTTCCCATTAGTAAATTGTTCAGCTTAAAAGAAGCGGGGTAGAAGGAGAAAAGGAGAAGGTAAAAGTCAAACATGCAGGATAATATGAATAAAACATATTCCAGGATTCTCTCTTTTTGTTTGTTTGTTTGTTTTTGCGGTACGCGGGCCTCCCACTGTTGTGGCCTCTCCCGTTGCAGAGCACAGGCTCCGGACGCGCAGACTCAGCGGCCATGACTCACGGGCCCACCCGCTCCGCGGCATGTGGGATCTTCCCGGACCGGGCACGAACCGGTGTCCCCTGCACCGGCAGGCGGACTCTCAACCACTGCGCCACCAGGGAAGCCCCAGGATTCTCTTTTAAAACAGGACTTAATCACAAATATTTCTCTTCTATCCTAAAATAATCAAGCAGCCAGTAATTCTAGTCAGGAATACAGTTTTTGAAAATTTGTCAGCTGTACTTTTTGTTGTTGGTTAGCATATTTTGGCCCATTATTATACTTGAGACAGGAAGACAAGTATCAATTCCACCTAGTTTAGGAAATCCTCCCATCTCGACATTTCCTAACCCACTAACCATGCTTCTGAGCCTACTCACCTGCCCCTCCCTTCACTCCATCTTCTAAGTAACTGGTGACTAATTTAAAGTTCATTATAACCATTTCTCTTCTTCCAGGGCTTCAAGATATACTCGTAAGAACAATGAAGACAATACCATCATTGTACATTAATTTTAATAACATTAATTTTTTTAAGACCATATTTATTGCAAACATCACAAGCATCTGCTTAAGCCTCCTATTATGCAACTTTTAAGCAACATTTATTTGCACACAATAGGTATCCACACCTTTAAAAAACTAATAAAAAAACATTTTATAAATAGAACAACTCACCCATACATGAGAAACTTCTTAACAATATTTCTGGAATATTTAGCTTTACTTAATTCAACCAAATCACCTGAAAAACAAAATACATTACATTAATGATAACCTCATTCCAGTCCTCCAGAAACAAGGGAAGAACTAACTGCACAATCTTGGGAACACAAACGAATAACTCCCTATTTGTCCCAGGCAAAAAATACAAATAAACAGAAAAGGTCCTGCAGAGGACACACTGCTATCCCTCAACAGAATTCTTTTCCAGGACAGTGCTGGGTATTTCAAGAGAAAACAAGCGACTTCTTACAAACAATTACGAAATATATATAAGAAATACCTCGCAGTTCTTCAAAAGCCTGTTTCCTCTGCTCTTCGTTGCCATACTGAATGTAACACTGGATCACACGAGTTGAATCATGTGCAAATGCAATCTGTAGGAAAACAGTTGGGGCCTTTAGACAAATTCTCTCTGAAAATATATCTTTCTATCATATTATTTATGTTGTATTGCTTGCTGCCTCTTTTACAATTCCTTGTGAGGAAAAAAAAGTAGGGTCTTCACAGCTAATCAAACCTAGGTTACTTGGGAGTAGAAATTCTTGTTTAATTGTTCAGAATGGCATTCTTTGGTTTTGCTGGCTACCGTACAGCATCGAGACAGGAATGCATTTAAGTATTCTGCAAGATTCTATCATTATAATTCAAACCAAACCTGTCTAATGATTATACACACTTCATTTTTCATTTCTCTGATAGTTACTTTCCTTAAAAGAGGAATTTTTCAATGCAAAAATTCTATTATTCTATGATTTTTAAAAAAATATAAATGATCTAAGAATGTTTGGCTTTGGCAACCAAAGTATTGCTACATAATTATACCTAATTATTATAATAATCTAGATACACATTGGCAATTACAATATGAGCTAATCACTCCATTTCTCACATTTTCATTAAAATCCCTGAACATACATCCAGTTATATTCCTAGAATTTCAAATCTGATTCTCCAACCCAAGCCCCCTCACAACTATTGGATGGATTAGATCCTCACTGAAGGACTTGCTGATCAATTTTCTAAAGCAATAACCGCAGATAATCAGTCATGCACTATTATTTTTTAATATGCTACAGTCTACTTTAATAGTGCTTATTACTCGTTGCTGAGTCTGTCTTTAAATTTTAAAATTCTAACAAGTCAGAAGGTAAAGGTATACCTTCATCAAAGTCATGGATTTCTGAAGAATTTCCTTAAGGGAGATTTGCATAGACATTTTTGATAAAACTTTAAAAATAATTTTTAAAAAGAAATAAGGCTGTTTTGTGCATATGTTGATTACCTACTATGTAACCAATATATGCGCTTAAGTATATTTTTCTCATTTAAACTCAAAGCAACCTTAAAAGTGGGTTGTTGTTATTAGCACTTTGTAGATTAAAGTGAGTTTATGAGAAGTTAAGGAACTTGCTATCCTTGTGACCCTGGGGATGAAACTCAACTTCTCTGAGCCCAGATGTATCAAACGTTTAATAGGGATGATGACTAAGTTAAAGGATACAAAGTATGCACTGGTTAGCATAATTCCTAGCACACAGTAAATAATCAATAAATAGGCTGTTATTGTCTAAAGGCACACGTATGTTAAATAGCAGAGTGGGTATTTGAATACCAGACTAACCCCCAAGTCCATGGGCATGCAGTAATAACCTAAGGGTAATTGGGAAAGGATCTTGAGTGTAAAGTATTTATAAATTGAGTGTAACAGACTACTGCTAGAGACGAGGAGGAGTTCCAACCTAAAAAGACCTTGCTGGCTTCAAGAAAGCAGCAGCTGGGAACTCACTATTTTAAGACAGTCCTTCAAACTGCAATACAGCATCTGGTTAGACCCACGTACGTGGTTCGGCAAAGGCTGCCCCTCAAGGGTCTCCAAAGATACCGTGTCTGTTGGCTTACAAGTGAATATCACTAAGTATTTATCCAAATACACAAGAATCAACAGAAGTTTACTATAAAACAGGATTAAACAACAAAAATCAATTCAGAAGTCCCAAATCTATTATATTTTAAAGATCTTTGCATGATGCTTGTAAACGCAGGAAGAAAGTAATCATGTGTTTGCATCACACATACAAAATAGCCAGCAATTTAGAACATACAAAAGTATAGAGTTCACAGCAAGACATTCTAACGAACACTGTTGAACTAATAAATTTCTCGAGATAACTTTAAAAGAACACTGATTTATTTTAAGTAAATTATTTTAAAATGAACAGCCAAATACTTGATAGCCTTTTTATAATTTCCCGGCAGTAAGGTCTCTCACTATTAAATTTTTTAATCAGTATTATAAAAGGTATTTGAAATTTGAGGCCAAATACATTAAAAACAGAAACAATTTCACCTGCCACAACGGTCAACTACCCTTTACTGCGAGTCAATTTCAATTGTTAAAATTGCAACTGAGTATGCCCTACTTACAGTTTTAATTTTCCCTTGAATCAACTTCTGCAAATCATTCATCAACTTCACTCTTTTTTCTTTGTCACAATCTTTTCTATAAAAGAGGCAGGAAACATAGCCTAAGTAAAGACATTATTTTAAACACACAAAAATAAAAACCATACCAGTGTATGTTCACCCACTTCAGTATGATTTTCTCTTCGAAGAGAGCAAACTGGACATTAAAATTACTATTCCAGAGCAGCCAGAGAAAAGTAATTTTCTCAAAGGCAGAAACTCATCTCACAAGGTATAATTTTACGCATCAATCTAAATCTTAACAGCCAGAACTTCAAAAGTGAAGAAAATAATAAAACAAGTCCAAGACACCAAGTACTCAAGTATCTCAAAACCTAGCCGAAAAGAACTGTCCTTCATTTTCTCAGAAATTTCTCAGGAAGGACGTCAAATCCATTTTAACTCTCATTCATTTTCATAAGCAGATCTGACACCATCCGAATGATTCCACACATTTCTGCAACAGGCAGACATCCAAACACTGATGCCTCTACTGGAGTATTATGAGTACTCCCTAAATAACCCAAGCGCTATGTTATTTATCTTAGGACATTTCACTATTTACTAGTTACACTGTTACTCCTCCATCATCTCAAAGGGCCTAATAAAGATGCCATTAAGTAGCATTACCTTCTTAAGATCTCCCAGATCTGCTTCGCCCGAACAACAATGTCGTAGTTGGTTTTATCACTGAGTTGCCTGCTCTGCTTCAGTTCTTTTTTCTTTTTTTTGAACTCATCCCATTTGGGTTTCTTGACTGCTGTGCCTAGTCATTACAGAAATTATTTTCAATTACATTTAACATTCTCAGTGCCATACACAAGGACAAATTAGGCACCTATGGCAATCACTAATCAAGATCAATACTCACTGAGGAAACTAGAAGGGGGAAAACATCATTCCCTACCAACTTATACTTTATTTCATTTTCTGAGCAGTTTACACATTTTAAATTTGGTTGACACCAACTGTTCATTTATTCAACAGCTATTTATTTAATCTTAACAGGATACCTATTAAAAAAACAAAAGGAACTAAACAGATTATAAAAGCAATTTTAAAAGTTTAAGCATCTTTCTCAATTGTAAAATAAAATTTTACTCTAGAACATTAAGATCATTGGACTTTAGGTATAATCAGTTCTCAATGAAAACAAAAATTAGTCCAAATTAACATAGGAAAAACCATATTCAAAAATTCACTCTTCTGAGTGCTGTTATGTAGTAAGTGATTTAATTCTTACAACAACCCTACAAGGTAGGTACTATTATTATCCCCTTCATGTCAGGGAAACAAAGGCACCGAGCAGGTAAGTTCCTTGTCCAAGGTCACGTTAACTCCTAAGTGGCAGAGTCAGGATTCAAACCCAGACGTGGCTCTAAAACTTTATTCTCTGCTGTCTCTTACTCATGACAATGCACAATCAAAATTCCTCAGTTCTCTACAATTAGGGTCATGCTATAAAAGTCGAGTATCTTTCTATTGGTTATTGTTGGTCTTCACAATCTAAATAACTTATTAATTGAATGAAAAAACCCAAAGAGGCCAAACAAAAAAACCTTAATAAAATGAGTATTATTTACAAGAGTCCCTGCAAAGAACCCTTAGGAGAGTAAGTTATTTCTAGATATCTCCCCTTCTCTGATTAGAAATACACTCAAAAACCAAAATTCTCCTATAATCTCAAAACCTAGGGATTAACATTTTATTTCCTTCTTGTCTTTTCCCCTACACGTTTTATATTAATTTCCTTGTTGTCTTTACTTAAACATTATTATGTTGTAAGCATTCTTCCATGAAACTAAATATTCCTCAAGAATATAATTTTTAATGGCATTCGATATACTATAGTGTATTTAGTTACTCCCCTTTCTGCTCACTTGCTTACTCCCAGCCTGGTAATAGAGGATTACAGGCAACAGAAGGCATATTTACCATTACTATTAGGGCATCATGTACTGTGCAGCAGAGGATAATAACCAATCCAGAGTTCATTTAATTCTACAAATATCTGGGCACCCTTGACATATGCCATGCCGGGTTGCAGCGGATACAACCAATTCTGGGGATGTCTAGTATCCAATTCCCCTCAGTTGCTGGTATAAAACTGAGAAAATAAAATCAAAGTTCCATTTTGAGATGCTGGGAACTTATCTCCTATAGCAAAAGGAACCAGGGGTCCACTATAATAAGATGAGGATGTGTGTGCACTTAAAATGCAGGTGTCAAGAACTCCAGTGTGGAAAGGAAGATTTAGGACCTAATAGAGAAGCTAGGAAAGAGTAGGTAGGAAAAAGAAGCTGGAAGAGAAGGGGAAAAGAGAAAAGATGGAAGCTAGAGCATGAAAGAATCCTCCAGGCCTAATGAGAAATAATGAAAATTTCCCCTTTCCTCTCTCCCTATGCCCCTGTCTTGCAGCAGCGCTAGGCAGAGCAGAGAACAGGGACCAGGTCTAAAGAACTGGAGTAAAAAGGTCCCATGGCAGTGGTCTCAACTGGCAGCAAAGGAGCAGTGTCAGGCTATGCCACGCTGGAGAAAAAGAGTATGAAAGACACCAGAGAAGTTCTCATGATGCTGCAGAGAAGGCATATGCATGACAGCACGCGTAACCTGGAAGCTGCTCGTTTGAGACCAGTGCAGGAGAGACGATGCACAGCAAGGGCAGGCTGTACAACAGACAGCAAAGCTCTGGGTTAAAGACAACCGCTTAAACATCATGACGAAGAGATTAGTAGTTTGTTTCAACAAAGAGGAGCCCTGCCAACACTTCTAACCAGTTAGCAACCTAGCCTGTTCAACCAATTCAAGTCAAATCTGTCACATGTATACTACGCCTTCTCTGGAACTGTTTACCGGCTCTGAGCCATCTGATGGGTTGATGATATTAGAGTGGCCTGAGCCCTGTGAGGGCAGGGTCTATATGTTTCTTGTTCACCAGGGCATCCTTAGCCAAGGTGGATGTTTAGCTGGGACACACTGGTTATTTAAGTATTAAATTTAAGTATTAAGTATTTGTTTGTTGAATGAATGAGTTCATTAATTTTAGCCTACAGAAAGGAATGTTTTATTGAGGTTCCAATGCATAAAGCCAATACAATTTAGCCTAATTCCACAGCTAGGGGAATTCAGCAAGGGCCTAGGAAGTAAGGAATTCTAAGTACCAGAGGACAATTTTGACAGGGAAGATGCTTTCTGTTTTTTATTTAATCCCATCTACCTTCCCCTGCCCCCACCCCAAGTGTTGCCTGTCAAGGAACAAGAACAGAAGGTCTCTACCAGACTTCTAGAGTCCCTGTGCACGATGGTTCAGGCAATAGCTCAGGCAGGGCAACGCTTTTGCAAAAACTCTGCTAAAGGAATCAGTGCTTACCATCATTTTTACTGTCTGGCTGGAATTTTCTCTTCCTGTTGAATTTATCTGCCTGCTGGAATTTGTTCTTTGGTATTTTATCCCCTTGCTGCTTATTCTTGAACTGCTTCACACCTTTTTTCCCAGGTTTTGTGGCAGTTTTCTCAAAGTTCTTAGTTGTGATTTTAGGTCCACCTTCCTTAACAACTTTTTTTGGGAATGTCTTTGAAGAACCAGAATCTAGTGACAATAATAAATAATTGTTAGTTCAATGATCCTGGGCCTAGATCTTTTATCCACTGGATTGTATTTGTTACAGAAAATTACACACTCTTTAGTGAAACATACTTTGTTTTATTCTCAAAAACGGAGCACAGTAGGATTTAAAAAATCAAAACAAAATTAAAAAACTTACTCTGATTATAAAATTGTAACACAGGTTCATTATAGAAAACCTACGAAGTAGAGAAATACATAATAAAAACTACCCATAATTCGAGAGATAACCACTATTGTCAGTTAGGTGTACTTCTGTTTTAAGCACATATCACAAGATGAGACATTATTTTTACGTTTGTGTGTGTCTGTGTGTGTGTATTTAGGGCATCAATAACATAATAGGAATCTAAGAATAAAATGAACATTTAAAATTTAGAAAGTATATCATATATAAACAAATTTAAAATGTTTATTTTTCAGAATTTCTAGTTGCAAGAAAAAAAAAGATTGCTTAGGAAACTAGTCATTGACACAATTCCTGACTTTTCTATTTTGCAATACTGACACCTGATGGAACAATAAAGACATCACAATGAGAAATCCTGAAGATCTGGCTCACCAGTACACGTATTAATCAGCCACAATTTATCAAACGTTAAAATGTTGTTGTGAATTAGCGTGACTAAAGTGAGGAAACAGCATCACTAGCCGACATATCTTTCAAAAGCACAGTATTCACCAATTATCCTGGCGATTTCTTAAAGGTCTAAGTTTCACAGGGAACATGCAAACTCATATATAGTAACACCTACTTTTTCCTACTACTTTAATCCTAACTCTAACCCATGAATAGATTGGAATCTGCTACATGCCCCCTCATACCACCAACTGCTCCCTCCAAGGGCCAAATAAACCACACGGGAAGCATGTTTTGAGTATCTTACCACTGTTTTTATGAAATCTGTTTTTTTCTTGTGATGGCTTTGTACCTTTTCCTGTGATTTTTTTTTTCCCTTTGACTTCCATTATAGCAACTCTGGAAAACAAAAACAAAATCCAAAAAAGGATCACTGAATTGCTCTCATCCAATAAAAGTCATTAGTGGTCACTGCCACATTTACTCCTTGAGGTCACAGATGCAGGACAAATTAGCTGCATCCAGCACAGGCACCCATGAGTCCAGGAACTACACAATCACGACTTCTAAGATTGTAAGAGCGAAAATAAATACGATACCAATACAAAAACTAAGAACACACACACACCTTGGCTAGTGTGTGATGTTTTGGAGGCAACATTTCAGCAATAGCAATGGCTAAAACTAAATCATTATTTACATTAAGCATGATAAAACTGTCAGTGTTTGCATTACTTACAACCTGGGAAGACTTTGTGATGAGAAAATGACAATATTACCACTTGATTTTTTGGTCTCTATCCTAAAAAGCCAGCAACAAACATTGCACTTATCATATATTCAAATTTAATGAAAGTAGATTATCTAAAAGTTCCTTATGTAACCCAAGGTAGCTAAAACAAAAACTAACTTCGAACGTTTAATCTGTTATTCTTTTAGAGGCAATCAAGTAATTTTCAAAGACCTCCGAAATAAGATTATTGAAATATTTAATATTTCATTTTAAAGAAATCTGCCTAACAGGCTGCTTCTGGATAGAGACCCCACCATGCACATGGCAAACAACAGATAACCCTTCAACTGCCCAAGCCTCCTGAAAGCAGCCGAATGTATCAAGAGCAAAAGTTATTATGTTTTATTTGTCTATTTCTGTACCTTCCAAAGTTGCATATTCAACTCATTTCAAAATTTCTAAAGTTGACCCTCTCGAGTAGATGCTAGGGATCCCTAGACAATTCCAGATATTTCTAGACAAGAATTTTCCATTGAAGAACAACAAATTTCTCAAGATATTAATAGATATAAGAGAAACAAGGGGTTCTGGGGTGAAATGTATTTGGGAAACTCTTAAATGAAAATAATGAAGGAGGCATGTTTAAGGAAAGGCAGATTCTTTTGCTAATTTAAGCCATTAATCACCAAGCACAAGCTAAAGTATGCAGGATTTCCCAACCGTGGTTGAACCACTTTTTCCTGGAATATCTCAAGGGACCAGTAGGGTCTCAAAGAGCACTCTGGAAAATGAATGGCCTCTGAATTACTCCGTTTCCTTAGATCATTAATGACTGTAGGGTCACTGTCACTTGGCTATAGCCTTCATAACCACATCTGCATCCCTTAGCTCTTCTGTGCATGAACTTTTTATTTTGATGTAAGTTTAGTTTTAAAGAAGAGTTGGGAAAGACAGAAAAAGGTCCAGTATACCCCTCAGCCTCCCTTAATGTTAACATCTTACCATGATGCATTTACCCAAACTAAGAAATAACATTAATATGATGCTATTAAATTTGGATTTCGCCGGTTTTTCCACTGACGTCGTTTTTCAATTCCAGGATACCTTGCATTTAATCATCAAATCTTCTTAGTTTCCACCAATCTGTGACAGCTTCTCCATCTCTACTTGTTTCTCATGACCAAGACACTTTTGGAGAGTACTGGTCAGGCACTGTGTAGAATATCCTACATTTGGGGTCTGTCTGACATTTTCCTATGATTCTACTGGCCTTACGGATTTGAGGGAAGAATACCATAGAGATGAAGTGCCCTTCTCATCCCATCACATTAGGAGGAGCATGATATCGACATGACTAGTGATATTAACCTTGATCACTGGTTAACACAGTGTTTGCAAGGTGTCTCTGCTGTAAAGTTACTGTAGTGTTTGCAAGGTGTCTCTGCTGTAAAGTTACTATGTCTCCCTTTCTTTTTTTTTTTTTTGCGGTACACGGGCCTCTCACTGCTGTGGCCTCTCCCCTTGCGGAGCACAGGCTCCGGACACGCAGGCCCAGCGGCCGTGGCTCACGGGCCCAGCCGCTCCACGGCATGTGGGATCTTCCCGAACCGGGGTACGAACCCGTGCCCCCTGCATCGGCAGGCGGACTCTCAACCACTGTGCCACCAGGGAAGCCCTATGTCTCCCTTTCCATACTCTGTTAGAAGCAAGTCACTAAAATTCAGCCCAAACTTAGGGAGAGAATTAAGCTCCACTTTCTAGAGAGGGGAGTATTAAAGAATTTGAATCAATGCATTAAAATCCCCAAAGCAATTAATAAATATTTTGGATATGTTTTGAGATCACGCAAATATCCTGTATCCCTCACTGATTTTAGCACTCTCCAATGGATCTTGCCTGCAGCAATTTCCGTGGTGTTTACATGATGATATTCTATTTCCCTTGCTTTTACCTTCATTATTTTGTATTCTTCTGTAGGGAACATTTATTCCTTCTCCTCATTCATTTAATCATTTATTTACATCGGTATGGTCTCACAGTATTTTATTATTTGCGATATGGACTAACAGTATCTTTGTATTTTGTTGCTTATAGTATTTTATTATTTGCATATGGGCTAACAGTATCTTTGTATTTTGTTGCTAAACAAAATGTATTTTGTTGTTTAGTATTTTGTTGCTAAAATTGTTCCAGCTTTGAAATCTCTAAGGTTGCTTCTGTGTCCTTTTCATATGGTCCATCCTTTTCTTTTTTTTTTCCTTAGCATGTCCTTAATTCCTGGCACTTGTTCCAAGTTTACCTTTTATTTTCCTTGCACAAGCCCTAAAATCAGTCATTTCTCCAAGGAACCCTAGAGAAACCCTCTTATTGAGATCTGAGTGCTAGGTGTGCTTGTCACTGGGGTGTCACTGCTTCTAGGTCTTTTCACCAGACAGGGCTAGGTAATATATGTATGTATATTAGCCTATGTGTATACACAAACCTGTATTTCTGTACCTATTAAGTAAGTTCATACTAACGTCTCCAACTCTAATCACGTGCCACAGGGTTATAGTTGGTAAAAACAAATGTACCAATTATAATGTGGTGTTTATTTACAGTTCTTTTTGTCTTTTCCCTCACAGTATCCATTCAAAACACTGCTTTCCAAAGTTACTTAGGTCAGCTCTTTTCCCTCCACTCCTTCAGTGAGGTCTTTTTATACCTCTGTACTAGTTAGATGCATTTTGTTCCAGTCTGCATTCCATTTCCTGACATGTCAGTTGACTTTCTTTTCATCTGCCTATAGTCAAGTTCATTCTTTTTGGTGTACAGTGCTGATTTTGACAAACCCACAGTCATGTATCCTCTACCACAGCACCTTACAGAACTGTCCCACACTCCTAAAAGTCCCCTGTGGAGCCCTTTTGCAATCATCCTCTCCTGGCTCTCTTGGCAATGCTTGATTTTTTTTCTACCCTCTAGCTTTGTGCCTTTTCAAAAATGTCCTATAAATGGAATTAGACAATATACAGCCTTTGGGGTCTTGCTTCTCTCACTTAGCAAAATGCATTTGCTTGGGGACCCTGTACCATCACATCCAACCATCACACTTCAGTGTCTTGGAATTGTCTCCTCTTTTTCCCTTCCCTCTACTACCCCATTCAGACTCTATCTCTTGCTCACAATGTTTTCTGCCGTTAGACCCAGTCTGCTATGATCCACTGCCTGCTGCCCAATTAGTTGTCCAGTATCACAGCCATTTCATGTCATTTCCCTGCTCTAACACCTTCAAAAGCTTCCCACTGCTTATAGGAAAAATTTCAAACTCAGTCTGGCATTCACGTCCATTCAACACTTAGTCCTAACTTACCCACATCACAATACCACACTGAAGCCAACCTTACTCCCTCACTGTTCTTTTTCAGGAGCCAAACCTTAAAGCCATTCTCTATCAATATAAATCCTACCCATCCTTCAAATCCAGCCTAAATGACAATTTCTTATCATTCCTCCTCCAGATGCCTTCTTTCTCAAATGATTCTCCTTACTCCTATGGCACATTTTGATAACCTTCTTATAACAACGCTTTGGACTTGAAATGTATTGCATACCTACACACTATGTGCTAGAGAGCTAATGGGTTTTAAATATATATATACAAAAAAAATCAAAGTGTGGTGTCATAGAGACAGGCAAGCAGAAAATTAAAACATGGCATAATTAAGCATTATAACTGAAGTATATAAAAAGTGTTCAGAGAGCCACAGAGCTGAAAGAGCCCAATTCCGCCTCATGAAGGAAAAGAGCAGAGATTTCCCAGAAATAGAGGGACAGGTGACTGATCGTGACTGATCTCGACTCCTCTCAGCAGGCTCAGCATTGCACTTGGAAAGTAATGACCATTCAATACCCAACTTCTAAATGCTGGCATTCCTCAAGTCTTGCCCTCTCTCTTCTCCCTAGGTGATCTCGTGCAATCCCGTGGCTTTTTATGCTGGACTCCCAAATTATCTCTCCATTAGGAACATCTCCTTGGGCTCCAGGCTTCTGTATCTAACTGCCTACCTGAAATTTCCATTTAGGTGTCTAACAAACACCTTACACTTAATAGAACCGAAATAAAATTCTTTAACTATATGACCACTGCAAACCACCCCCGAACAATAACATCCTCATCTAATTTTCCCCACCCTATTCTTCCCCATTTCAGCAATGGCACAGCATCCACTCCACTGCTCAAGAAACCTAAGATTTACCTGTGAGAGTTTACTCTTCCTTGTCTGCTACATTCAATTTTTCAATAATTCTTCTCGAATCTTTAAAAACACCTCTAACCCTTCAACTTCAATCTCCAGTACCACCACCCTAATTCAAACCATCATCAATAATTCAGCTATATAATCAATAATAATCCAAATTATTATCCATTTTCCAAAAAGAACCAGGGCCTACTGTGTTTCTCCCTTGCTTATAAGCCTTCACTGTGTTCTAATAACGCAAATATTTTTCCATTGTAGAGAAAATCGAAACTCCCACCATTGCCTTCAAAGCCCCACAGAACCTCCTCTCACCCTACTCCTTTACCTCATATGGCTGAACTTCTAGCTCACGAACATCGGCCCCCCTTCCACCTCAGGGACTTAGCCCAAGTTACGGCCTCTGGGGAAAGTAGTTTTCCCTGGGCTTTCAGATTTCGGGGTTGCCTCTCGCCACGCTCTAGGTCTCGGCTTCAGGATCACGTCAGACTTCCCCTATCTTGTATCTCGACACCCAGGTCATTTCCTTCCCAACGCTTACAACCTACAACTGTACATTCAGGTTGCAAACTGGGCATCTAGCACTGACCGGGCGCAGAGCGGATGTCAAACATACGACAAAAAGGCTGAAAGCGTGGCAGGGAGAGGAGTTGTAAACCGCCCTTGTCGCCAGGCTCCCGTCAACCCCCAAACTCCCAGAACAGAAAAAGGCACAGAAGGTCGCCCAGCGGGTGACATGTGTGAACACCTCTACCCGAGAGACCCTCCTACTTCAGCGCCGAGCAAGCCGCAAATCCCTCCCGGGAGCGGCCTCCGCACTCACCGCACACGTGTTGCCCAGGTAGGCGTTCGTCCCAGCTCCGCCGCCACGGCTTCCGCTTCCTCGCTTTGCCCCGCCCCCTAGTCGCCTTTTCCTTTCTTCCTCGGCCGAGTTCGGTTAAGGGGTGGGGATTAGCCGGAAAAACGGAAATTCGGCATTTCTATTGGCCCACTTCTATTCTCCCTTCGTCCAGAAGCGCGAGGGCTGCGTCACAGGCGGGGTTTGGCCCTTGAAAGGATCCGTGGGGCGAGGACGTGATAGCGGCTCCTGAAAGTGACGTCATTAACCCTGTCGCTTCCCGGCCGGGGGAGCCGGCGGCATCCCACGAGGGTTGACCAGTTGTGGAAGCGGAGGCTTGGTTGGCTCGGCTAATTTGTAGCTGGAACTGAGGCTAAACTAGTTAACGCTTTGAGAGTGCGTTCATTTGCATCCTCCCTGGCAGTCCAGCGGGGGACGTTAAAGGGAAATCTCGGGAGTCGGCTAGAATTGCGATCTCGGTTTTTTCCGCTTCTTAGCTGTATGCCTTTGGGCAAATGACTGAATTTCTCTGAGCCTTGGTTATCTGATTAATAAAATAGAGATGGCTAAGTCACACAGGGAAAGCGCCTAGCACACTGAATGATCAGGACAAGCGCTCAATAAACGTTTGCCGCTTTAAACGTCTGCGCGTTCCTCCAGACAGCAGTTACCCCACTTAACATTTCAGGAAATGAGACTAGGATGTTGTCCCCATTTTACAGATGAAGACACACCACAAACCTGGTCTGGTCAAACAACAGAATTTATTCTCTAACAGTTCTGGAGGTTGGAAGTCAGAAGTCATGCTGGTAGCGAGGTTGTGCACTCTCTGAAGGATCTAGGGGGAGCATTCTTTGCCCCTTACAGCTTCTGGTGGTTCCAGGCGTTACTTGGCTTGGGCTGCATGACTTCAACCTCTGCCTCTGTCTTCAGACGGCTTTCTCTTCTATGTCTTCTCCTCTTCTACGTTTTATAAAGACTTGTCATTGGATTTAGGGCGCATCAGGGTAATCAAGGATGATCTCATTTGGAGGTCCTTACTTAATTACATCTGCAAAGATCCTTTTCCCGAATAAGGTCACTTTCATAGCTTCTGCAGGTTGGTACACTGACATATCTTTTGGAGGGCCACTCAGAAAGTTGAGGAATGGGACTTGATCTCAGGGGTGTCAAGCATCAGATTTTACTGTCTTCTAAATCACATTGCTTCCCGCCTCTTAAGGCACTGGCTTGAGACTGATGATTCACTAGACTATGCTTCTTGAGGGCGGGGTCCATCATTACTTCCCAGACACCTATCCCACTCTTCAGCACACAGACCGTTGATAAGTACTTATTGTCTGCCTTTAGTATTATGTTTGGATAAGCTCATTTAAGTCTCATAAGAACAGTTAAGTACATCTTTCCCCCTCATGTTATGGACAAAGGGGAAACATTCAGTATTTCTGATCCAGTGAGTCTGACTCCAAACTCAACGTGACTGACCCTGGATGGCTTTCTCTAATTCATTAGTTCTCCAGTGAAAGCTCAAAAGGAGAGAATACAGAACAGGAATGGCAGGAGGTCCATCAACAGCACCTATTAGGCAAATAGTATGGTATGTGCTAGCTAATAATAATAATAACAAAATCTTAACATATACACCCTACCTGGAAGAGATTCATTTGTATTTGCAACACCACAGTCTGCAGCACCCCATATCCTCTAAGACACATCCATGTAGCTGTCTTAAACATATACATCAAACTCTTAATATTCTTCTGCCTTCTCACCAGGGAGAAAAAAAGTTGTCACATACCTAAGTCCTAGATTATTATTTATGGTGTTATCAAATCTGTGCTGTCAAAAAGTTGACAGGAGAGATTGACGTGAGTGTTTTGTTTGGAGTGAGTTGGAAGTATCTTGCGGTTTCGCAGACCACCACCAACAACAACAAAATTTTCTATAATTTTACAGTTGACCAAGTTAAGCCCGTTAATTCTTCAAATATTTAAGGATCTAAATGTTGAACGTTATATGTATTCCTACAAGCTTAAAATGCTCTTCCTAAATGATATGGCATGCAATTTAATCAGGACAACTAGACCTGTACACATGCAAGAGGTTTATAGCAACATAATTAAGAGCACTGGCATTGGAATCAAAAGAACCTGGCCTAAAATCCAAGGAATATATGACCTCTGCTGGGCTATGCTGAGGACAAGATAACTAATTTGTATGGGCCTCAGTTTCTGCATATGTAAAATGGGAATAACAGCACTTATCTTTTGGGGTTGCTGTGTGACTCAAAAGCTGATAAAGTTATCAGCTAATAGTAAATGTTTAGTGATTTGTAGCTTGGAGGGGGGGAGAGAGAGGGCGAGCGCATACCAAGGTGTATTCATTCGAAATTATTTTGGTTGCAAATAATGGAAAGTTCAGCTAATAGTGGCTTAATCAATAATTTTCTTCCCCCAACAAAAATTCTGAAGGCAATTGGTTGCTGTAGTTCAGTGGCTCAACAGTGTCATCACAGATCCAAGCTGATTTCATTTTTTCCTTTTTCGTTTGTACCTTTGGACCACCTTCACCCATTTCCCCTATGCTTGATCCCCCCCCACCCCCGCGACAACCACCAATCTGTTCTCTGTTTTTATGAATTCGGGTTTTTTGAGATTCACAATAAGTGAGATCCACATCGGGTTTTTTGAGACTCACAATAAGTGAGATCCACATATAAGTGAGATCACACAGTATTTGTTTTTCTCTGTCTTAACTGTTTTCTGACTACAAGATGTACTTCTCAGTTTCCGGATTTATATCAGAGTTCAGGGCTAGGAGAATGCAGAAAAGATGAAATCCACTTTTTTTCCCCCCAGTAGGGCGCTATCCTTTTATCTCAGAGGGAAAAGACCTGGCAGGGTTCCCCTTCTATTTAAGCACCTAGAACTCAGTCACATGGCCACCCCAAGGATTGGAAGACCATCAGACATAATGTTAACCAGGCATTTGGAGTTCATTCTTTTTCCAGTGCTCGAGTAAAATTAAAGGTAACTTGGCAAATATGCTTTCATCCAAGAGTAGAGATTTAATTTGTAATTTAAACTGGTTTAAAACTTAAAATAACTGTAGTAAGCTTAAACTTAAAACAATTGTAGTATCCAAGGTAGTGGATCTCAATCTTGGCCACACATCACCTGTGGATTAAAAAACAGCAACAACAACCACCGTAATTCTGATTTAATTAGCCTGAAGTGGGACCTGGGCATTGAGAATTTGGAAAGTTCCCCCAGAACATGCTAAAGTGCAGCTAAAATTAAGAGTTGCTTATTTAGGGAATGGAGTTCAAGTTGGTGATTTGATTTTCCAGTTAACTGAGGATTAAACCCTGTTTAATCCTTTTGCAGTCACTAGAATTAGAGAATTAAATGTATAGTGCACTTGTTTCTGTAAGTAGAATGTCTTGGACATAACTGTATCTCTCTTGTTGCTTGAGGTCTCCTGCAGTGATTTAACATCATTAGATATTGAAAATGGTTTAAATTTGAACTATACACTTCCAAATGTATTCTGGAAAATATTCACTCTTTTTCAATTCATCATGATTCTGTACAATTTTTCTCTTTTTCATAAAAATAAAGTGTTAGGTGTCAGCTCCCACACATGTCCCCTCCCTCCAAATCCGTTCTTTAGAGTTCTAACTAATGGATTTTTAACTAATTGGTATAGTTTCTCTGTTTCCCAAATGCATAAGCAGGGATAAAGGGCATGTTATTGATATAAAGCATAAGTGAGATTTTGGCAAAGATTGGGTTTTATTTTCAGGACCTATTAGAGTCATAAATCCATGGAAACGGAGCAGTTGCCAACACATTTTCATTTAGTAAAAAAGAACTGCTTCTGACTAGAGTGGATTATGTTTTTCAATACCACACATTTGCTAAAAAGTGCACAAATATAGTCTAAACACTAATTGTGCATTTAGAATGTTCTAGTTACTGTCTAGTAAACATAAAATTGACCTTGTCCTAATTTTACTTTCTTTGGTGACACCCACAGGAGCCACAGAAAGAAAAATCAGACCATCACAATGAAAGTGTATCTGACTGTAATATAAAATACCACCTTTAATGAAAGATCATGTCAAAGATTAGTTAATATCACTTAAAGCCCACGAGTTATCACTTATACATGGAGCATTAACAATGCACTATGGTAAAACAAAACTCCTCAGGCCAAATGTACCAGCCCCAGGTGTTAGCGAGGATGAGAACAATTAACATGTTTTTGGTTTAAGTTTTTGTTAAATTTTTGTTTTCGGGCTTTATGAGAAGTATTTCCTTTGGAAACTAGTGACTGATTTTGGCTTGTGATTTCCTTGATTTCTGAGCAATAAAGACTTGATAACCAAGCTTATTAATAAATTACTAATTTTCTAACTATTTCTGCCATTTTACTTTTAAAAACTATAGACAGGTTACGTCAGGGCTTACAATGATGTCTAGCTCTACATACCTACCCAACTTTCCTCCTCCTTTTAAGAGGGAGAAAAGATTAGCCAACTAACCTAAGCCCATTATGTCAGTTTGAATTCTCCACGAAACAGACGCCAAGATAGAATTAGAAGGCCAAGACATTTACTGGGGGGAAAGCCTGTGAAAGACAAGGATAGAGGGGACACGAGTAAGAGGGAATCCTCAGACCATAATACTGATCTAATACTGATCTGACACCTGTGAAGGGAGGGACAAAGAGAGAAGGATGTGGTAAAAAAAAAAAAAAGATCTCTTAATTGAGGGTTCTGAGACTCTGGTAAGCATATCCTTGTAAGGCAAGGACTACTACAGAGGTCCACTTACAGATATACTGGGGGCTAAGGAGTACTGAGAGGCACCTAAGTGGATCACCGGGGCTCTACAGTGATCCCACACGTCCCCGCCTCCTCCTACTGAGGAGAGTTCATCTCTCCTGCCAACATGGTGACTCCTCACTGTTGGTCCTGGACACAGTGAGTCCAAAATGTCCAGGTAGCATCCATAGTTCAGTGGAACTCTTGCTCTGTCCTCTGCCAAGAATACGGCCCCTCTGAGACAAAGACCTCGAACTCTGCAGAGCCCAGAGCTGTAAGAACAGGAAACACAGATGGCCCCAGAGGGCCATTTAGAATGATGGCAAGTGAGGCCATTCCTGCTTCTGTTCCTTAGGTCTCAGGCCTATGTAGTCTTCTTATAGCACTATATAGAGATCTCTGATTTAGATTTATTCTGCATTCTGGAAGATAGCATCCCATTTTTGCAGATTCTGGACTCTAAGCTGGTGCTTCAACTGCACCTTTAAAAAGCCAACGCCAAGCTCTGTCAGGTCGGCTGCCTCTGGATGGTGCAGTATGTGATATGTCCTGTGGATCACATGACCTCCCTTGTTGTGAAGTGTGTTCCCTACTCGATGCCATGTTGTGTAGTTTTCCATGAGCATGGATCAGGCACTTCTTAGCTCCTGGATAGCGGTGCTGGCTGAGGCTCTTGGGCAGGAAAGGCGAGTCCATACTTGGAATAGGGCTCTATCCCTATGAGGAGAAACAGCTGGCCGTTCCATAATAAAAGGAGCCCAGCGTCATCAGCTTTCCAGCAGGTGGCCTGTTGGTCTCTGGGAAACAGTGCCATATCAGGGGTTCAGCACTGGTTTCTGTTGCTGGCAGGTTCTACATTCAGAGGAATCACTAGAGACTGGCTTTGGTAAGTGGAAGTTCATGTTGTTGGGCCCATGTGTAGCCTCCGTCTCTGCCATTGTGGCCTCTCTGTTCATGTACCCATCAGGCCAGCTCTAGCGTGCCCAGGGCTGCAAGCTCACTGATGTCAACTGGCCAAGTCGTTTTTGTCTTCTTGGTTGTTCAGTGTTTATTGCAGATGCCTTTTGATGGGTATTAACAATGTGAAAATTGTCACTTGCTGTGTCCACTCCCATCTGCCTTTATCCTGGACCTCATTGTTTCCCATTGTCCTTTTCCTTCCAGGTCCCTGACCAGCTGGTTGGGGCATTGGCCAATGATAGGAATTTCTACATGTTCTCACCTTGGGCCACTTCTCCTTCCGCATCAACTGGATGACCAGGGGCACTGCCTGCCCATTAGGAAGATTCTCCCCCTCTGCTGTCTTTCAGCCTGAATGAGGTTGTAATGCTACTATTTAGTTTCAGTTTGCACCCCCGAGCCCAGCCAACTCACCTGTAAACTACGCTTGGGCTTTCTCCTCCTCCATCAGCTATTTGTAAGGCACCCTGCTCTGTGGCCATCGGGGAGAGACGAGGAAGGGGAGCTGGTGTAATGTGGGTGATATGGAGGTCTGGGTTTTCTGTTCACACAGCTGACTCATGCCCTCCAGTCTTACTTGGGTTCGATCCCTGATATACCATTTCCATGTTATAATGGATTGTTGCTGGGCCCTTTTCACTTTATGCATTGACAGGTGAGACAGAACCTACCTCCTAACTGGCAGTTGTGGGTGGATGGTCATTGGTACACTATAATTAAGCCCTCTGTCTCTATGAGGGCTCAGTAACATGCTAGGAGCTATTTCTTCAGATGCACATAATTCTCCATTACAGATGGCAAGGCCTATTGCTAAAGAACCCCAAGGCCCTGTGTTATATGATCCTCCTACTTGGGTTTACCATGAACTCTGCGCTTGCATCTCTTCTCACCACTGACACTTCCCACACCACAGGGTCTGCCCATTGTTCTGCTCTAAGTGGAGAGGCTGCTTTCACTACAGCCTAGACCTGCTGTACAGCTCCTTCCTGACCCAGGCTCCACTCACAGGTGGCAGCCTTCCACACCCTCCAGCGCATGGACCAGAGCAAGATTCCCAGATGTGGACTATTTGCCCTCCAGAACCTGAAGAGGCCCCCCAGATACTGTACTTCCTTGTTTGTAATAGGGAATCCAAGAGGCAACAATGTGTCTTTACTTTGGAGGGATATCCTGACATGCCCCTGACCCTAAAAATGTGTACCTCCTTTAGCTTTTTAGGACTCCTGAAAACTTTACTGAAGTGGTCTGTCCCTGAAACTCTGTAGAGTTTATTTCCCACCTTCTTGAACACATGCTTCTTAGCAAGGTCTCTAGCACGCTAGCCATGTCTTTATTTTACGAATGTAATGGATCAGTGTGATGTTCTGCGGGATGTCCAGATGGTCCAGATCTCTTTGGACTATATTAAGACAGAAGGTGGGCGAGCTAACATAGCCCTGGTGCAAAACTGTAAATGAATATTGTTGTTCATTCCAAGGAGTGTGAACTGTTTCTGATCCTCTTTTCCATCTGTTTTTTCCATCCTATTTTACCATCTGCTGTGGTAACTCAGGCATTTCACCTCTGCTCTGTGATTTGAGTAAAAACATAGTGTTTGCCCCATTCCTCCAGGGTCCTCGCTGGAGTGTTAAATCCCATGTCCCAAGAAAGTGACCCCAAGTCAGAGTTTTCCCGCTTGTTCACTTTTACCTTCCAGCCCCTTGGTCAAGCATCCTCTTAACCCAGTCCCTGGGTAGTCTTCTCCCCTGACAGTTACATGCTGGCCAACTCGTGCTGGTCCCATGGGAGGGGGGTAGTTTCTCGTCTCCTTCATCAGGCCCAGCATGTCCTCTGCTGGGCTATGCTGGACTTAACCCTAGTTACTGGCCTGGCAGCCAGGAGAGGCAGCGGGGGCAGCTCCTGAGAGCAGGGCGTCGGGGAGCAGGTGCTGTCTTGCAGGGAGAGGCCTCTGCAGTGTCTTCCTGCTCAAGCAGAGTGTGGATTTTTACGAGGCAGTGTGGCCACCTCTGCAAGCTCTGCATGTTCAGGGCAGTCAGCAGAGCAAAACTGGGGGCACCCACTCATGTCCCCATCCCATGTCTCAGGGTCTCAAGTTCTCCCAAGCGGGCCACTGGCCTCAGTGTAACAGGCTGCCTGGGCCAAGCGTTTTAAAGGTTCTGGAGATCCACGACTCTCTTGGGCTTGCTCTTCACGTTGTCCTCTCCCGCAAGGGACAGGAGCCTCTTTGTAAGTGACCAGAGATGCCTCTGCTTCCTCCGCTCGCCTTTAACTATCTGGTTCCGGGCCCCACTGTCACTCTGCAGGGAGTCCTCCAACTCCACTCCCCTTAGATACACGGAAGCCCCCCATAACATTCAAATGCCTGAACCACCGCCCTGGCAAGGGCATTCCTCTCCACCAGGGGACCCCCTGCTCATCAGTGGTGATTGTTTTTAGTAGTTGAACAACCATCTGTGCCAATGACCAGCTGTGCCCCACTTACCACTTGGATTGGGACCCTCCTCACCAGCCTGTGGTGAGTGACCCCGTCTCCAACCCCATCTTCTTGCCAGCTTTCTGGAACCGCTCCTGGTATCAGTGGTGCTATTTCAAGTTTTCTGGGAAGCAAAAGCAGAGTTAGAAACATAAGATTTATGCAGGGAATAGCCTGTAAAGATAAAGGGAAGAGGAAGTGGGGTAAGAGGAAGGGCCTCGGACTGCAATGTGGGAAGGAAAGATTGTACAGGAAGAGCCCCAGGGAACAGCTCTGAGAATGCTTTGGCCAGGCTGGTGTGGAGACTCAAAGCAAAAACTGGCCGTTAGAAGAGTCCCGAGTTGGGCAGGGATGGCCTGGCTCTTGCATCGCAGCCACGTTCTGTTGTTGGCTTGGAGCAGCCCCGGAAGCCTCTGGCCTTGGTTTGGACACTGTGGTGGATGCCGAAGGTCTGAGAGCTGGAGGCTTTCAGCTAACCCCACCGCTCACCTCCTGCAGCAAGTTCTCTCCTGAAGGAAGACCTGAGTGGTGCACATTCTGCCTGTCACCGTCATATGACTGGTTTAGTGTCAAGACCAGGACAAAAACCAGAACCATCACCAGGGTTTTAGAAGCCTAACCTTATGTCTTTTCTATATTTAGGGGGACAAGATAAATTTCTACCATATACTCTTTAATGTATTATCTAGTATTTAGCAACTCAAAGCAATAGGTCTTCCAAGAAAAATCTCAAAAAAATAGCTCCTGGGACAATAAATTATATAAACTATTGAATCAAAACATGACTTCGCATTGAAAGTAGAAGTTAGGTTTTTGGGGAGCACACAATCCAGTGTTTGTCTTAATACACTTTATTGCTGAGGTTTAATATGTGCAAGGCAGGGTGCTCTTGGTGTCTGTCCACAAGACAGGGACGTGAAAATAACGATCTGGAATTTTTAATTTGGTGGCTGAGTGTTTCACATATATTAACGCCTGAATTTTTACAACATCATATCGTTTCACAAGGATTAGCTGTGTGAAAGCAGGGAACTTGTTCCTCTGTTTGCTGTAATATCTCTAGGGCCTTGCAGATTGCTTGGCACATATTCAGCTGTCGATAATATTTGAGAAATGGGTGTAATTGTTAAACTATAATTGCACAAGTATAAGGATCAGAGCTATTTTATTTGTGGGCACATAGTAAGAGCTTGAGTCAACAAATTCAGCAACTATATTTATTCAGTGGCTACTCTGTCCCAGGCACTGTTCTAGGCACTTGGGATATATATTAGTCAACAAAACTAAGACTTGCTGATAATAAACACCAAACAATAACAAACACTATATAAAGGCATTGTAGGATAGATGAGAAGTACTATAGTAAAAGGAATAGGGCTGGGTAAAGAGAGAACCAGAGTGGGGGAACCGGTTATAACATCAAATAGGGTGGTCAGAGTAGGTGTCACTAAGGAGAGGTTTGAGGAGAAATCTGGGGAGGTTGGGAGTTCGCCAAACATGCATCTGGGAAAGGAGCCTTCCAGGCAGAGGAAAGAGCTGGAGCAAAGGACCCAAGGCAGGAGTCAGGACCCCACGTGACTATGTCTTTGAGGAAAGGAGGCAGGCCCAGGAGGCTGGAATCAGCCAGGGAGAGGAGTAATGGGAAACAAGTTCAGGAGGAGGGCGGGACCAGTTGGCAGATGGTGAAAGGGTTTTTAGGCCATTTTAAGGACTCTGGGTTTTATTCTGAGTGAAAAAGAAGAGCCGTCTCAGGGTTCTGAGCAGGGGAGAAAAATGATCTGACGTTGAAACAATAAACTTCTGTAGGATTAATGAATATGTGAGGTAGATAGAATCATGCTACTTGATTGCCCATGAACTGGTTCAATAAAATGATACATATTTTTTTTTTGCTGATTTTTCCTGATACTCATTCTTTATCTCTAGGGAGCTGCTTGTCTTACGTAACTTTATCATTCCCACTTGCAGCAGCAGCAGAAGGAATTATTTGCCAACCACTTAATCATGACTAACTAGATACCGCTGGATAGTTTCGAGAGCACTTTTCATATGTATTATGTCACTCAAATCATCACAACTATATCTAGTGTTACATTACTGATATATCACTAATACAGAAACAAATTCAAAGAGACAATATATATATTGCCCAGTCACACATTTAATAAACGGCAGAGTATGAATTTTGTGTCCTCACCTAGTGTCTGTAAACCTACATTCTAGGTCCTAAAGACAGAAAGCGGTTTAACTACCCTAGGAGGGGTTCACAGTTAGGTGGGAGGCCAGGAGAGGAATAAAGAAAAAGATGGTACATATCACAATAAAGAAATAAAGGCAAAGTGCCAAAGTTATGGTGTGTTCAGCAAGAAGATCCACAAAGAGGACAACGGTCCTGATGGCGGGTGGCCTCAGATACACTGAAGCAGCGGGGCGTGCGGCTCAGGTGGTGGGAATGGTGCCGGCAGATGCTTGGGGGTCAAGATGAGCATTGTGTCCTCCGGGAATGGTTGGAACCTCCATTGTGAGTGCAAGGAAGTTGTAGGAGACAGGATTACAGAAGGTCGAAAAAAGCCACATGATATAGAATCTTAAGCCATAGGCTAAAACCATCTGTACTTTACCCACTGCAAGTTGCCAAGGATTTCTGAGTGGAGATGATGTTGACAAAAGTTTTGGGGTTTTAACCTCCTTGAACTTTTAAAGAAAGTTCAATATAACATGACTGTTTAGTGGGGGTTGACATGAGAGGCAACGTCTTAGAATGAGTTCCTCCACAAGTCAACCTTAAAACCAAGATTCAAGCGAAAATAACTGATTTTGGGGGTGGTGCCAGGACATAACCAACATGGGACTGGGGGAGAGAGATAGGGAACAGGAGGCAGACAGTAAAGTATTCAATGTCAAGTAATTTATCATCATGGATAACTGGACATTAGTCTTGTTGGGGGACTCTGGGAGCCAGTGTAGAACATACAGCTCAGAGGCATCCCACCCAAAGGATGTAGGAGCTGAGGTGTTTATACATGAGCTCCCAGCAGTCATTGGCTGAGGGCTGCTCCTGGGGGCAGGGATTCGAGGTTCCCCAGAACTGCCAGCCTGCCACATGGGCATCCAAATGGCATCTGGTAGCATCGGAGAAACAGACATAAATGCACCTGCTGGCAATGGGGTGGGGGGCAGTGTGCAGAATAGAAAGGGGTGGGTGATACGGACAGGCTATTGGCAGGATCTGCTACAGGCGGGAGCAGCAGTAGATTAAGACTCCTAAGCAGAGAGTCACATGGGTCCAGACCAATGTGCTGACAGCAGGAAATGAAAAGAAGGAACAGATTTCAAGAGCTTTTATAAGGAAGAGTTGCAAGGCTTGGTTTTATAGACCCTTGCTTTATAAGGCAACAAGGGACTCTGTCCACTTAATGACTGTGGAGTTAACCTCTGAAAAAAGTTCACCTGCCCCACATGTATTCTTTTTAATACATTAGGGAAAATAAGCACTTATAAGACTAATCATTTATAACACCTATGAAATACACATATTAGGGAAAGATCTGGGGAAAGGTATGGTAAAGCTTCTAAACATACTCATGGGAGAGTAACACACATCCAAATTCCAGACTTTCTCATTTCAGCCAATCTGTCTTTTGCATGGGAACAAAAGAAAAAGTAATGAAGAAATAATGTAAACCAAGGAACATTACCTATGGATAACGGAGATAAAAAATAAGCTAAGTATAACCTAGCAGTTTGTTCAAATATTTCAAGCAGGAGTTTTTGAGAAAACTCACCAAAGACTGAAGACAGAAAATGGAAGAAGCATGGGAGAATAATTTACTGAGGCGTTCATTCAACCTCACTCTCAAAGCTGTCACTAAAAAATAAGAGGTCTTTTCCCCTTTTCTCACCCCTATGCTCCTTGGCAGGATAGTCAGACTTATTAAAAAAAAAAAAAAAAAAGGGAAAAAGAAAAAGGCTGTGTTCCTGGAAGAATGGAGCTGAAACGTCCAAGAAGGAAAACACTGCAGGGATTGGAAGGGCAAAATCGGGGAGGTGATGGGCAGTGGAGTGGAGGCGGGGTCAGGGACTCCTGGAATGTAGGGGATACAAGGTGGAGCAGGGCCACCTGCCTCAGAAGGTCACGGGACCAGGGAAATGGGCATTTCCTCGGCCGCCATCACAAACTAAAGATTAAAGGCTCACTCCTCAGTTTTGTGGGCAGCTGACACCGGTAGGATTCTTTAAGATCCATGAGCGAGGGAGCGGTTTCCACAAACCCAGCTGAAAATATTCACTACCTCTGGCGGTTGGGAGCGCAGCCAAGTCAATCTGATTTCAAAAGAAAAAATGCTGATTCCTGCAGCAAGTTCATCCCTGCAGTAGAGGAAATATATAACCTTTACTTTCTTGGTTCGCTTTGTTGGAACTATGCGCGCCGTTCTGAGGCTCAGATGGGAGGGCAGCGAGTCATATTTTGCCCAGTGCATGGGTGGAACCATCCTCCGCGTGACTTTTCCCAGACCTTGCTCGTCTGTGGAGGCTCCTCCCCACTGACATTCTCAGTGACGCAACGAGAATTGAGTTTTTCCCCTTTCTTCTCCTCAATTCTTCTCATCTTTCCATCACATTTGACAGGAGAACAAGAATGGGCACATATGCCCAAGGGGATGGAGATCTTTGAAAGGTACATATTTGAAAGGAAAAAGGAAAAAGCAAGGAGAACAGGAAGACGAAATGGGAGCGTGAAGCAGAAGAGGAGGCTGGGGTGTAGGGGGGAGGAAATGGAGAAAAAGCAGAGTAGAAAGGCTGAGAGAGGAGAGGGAGGGAGGGGACAGGCTTGGTCACCCTCCGATCCTTTTGCTTAAAGAATAACACAGATGCTGACCATTCAGGGCTCCTTCCTGTCAGTGAGACAATCTGCAAAAGTACATTTGGGCCAACTTTTTTTTTTTTTTTTTTTTTGCGGTACGCGGGCCTCTCACTGTCGTGGCCTCTCCCGCTGCGGAGCACAGGTTCCGTACGCGCAGGCTCAGTGGCCATGGCTCACAGGCCCAGCCGCTCCGCGGCATGTGGGATCTTCCCAGACCGGGGCATAGAACCCGCGTCCCCTGCATCGGCAGGCGGACTCTCAACCACTGCACCACCAGGGAAGCCCTGGGCCAACTTTTATAGACATAGGGAAACTAGCCAAATGCCTCCTTGTAATATTTAATTTATTTAGTGACATGAACATACTCAAAGCCACATTTAAAGTAAGATACAAATTTGGAAATATTATTTGCTTTTATGTTTCATTTAATAAAGCCTTTGTATTCATTGTTTGGGTTTTTTTTGTCTAGGATGTCTTTTTTTTAGCTTTCCTTATGCATATTCGTTTTTGATGGAAGTATCCTTGTCATCAATAGAGGCACTTTTGGAGTCACCCAATGCTGTTTTCAGAAAGGACTTTCAACATTCAAGTTTACCACCCAGGAATAACGACTGTATAATATTTCTTTGCCCCTTAAAAAAAAAACAAAAAACAAAAAAAAACTGATTCTCTCAGGAGCCTTCTACTCACATCCAAAATCTGCAATGATCTGAACTAGTTTATGGTTCATCTTCTCTAAGCAATATTCTATTTTTCAACATAAGGTAATTGAGAGAAAATCTTATAAATGAGAAAGTCTGTAAGGACTGGATTCAAGGGTGATTTGCTTTCATTTTTCTTTGAAGTAAAATTCAGGCAAGTATGACACAGTTTTTCTAGAAGAGAGAATTTGATGCTCAAGGCAAAGATGCTTAGTTTTAGCTTAAAATACTCCAGAGACTCCTTGAGACCTCTGCTGTCAGACCAGACTTGGAACAAACTCCAACTGAATTACACATAGAGAACACCTTCTAGGAGGTACTTTAGCTTCCATTAGGTTCTGGACTATTTTAGCCAGGTCAGCCTCTCCAGAAACTATGCCCTGAGGGAGCCTCACCTGTCACCAGCGGTGGTTCTCAACTGAGACTATTCTGCCCCCCAGTGGTCACCTGGCAATGCCTGGAGATATTCTGGGTTGTTACTACTGGGATGTATTCGTCAGAGTTCTCCAGAGAAAAGAATCCATAGGATCTGTGTATATGTACATAGAGAGAGAGAGACGCTGATTTTAAACAATTGACTCACGTGATTATGGAGGCTGGCAAGTCCGAAATCTGTAGTTCAAGTCGAAAGGCAATCAAGATGAAGACCTAGGGAAGAGCTGACATTGCAGTTCAAGTCCAAAGGCCGTCTGCTGGCAGAACTCCCTCTTGCTCCCAGGAGGTCAGTCTTTTGTTCTATTCAGGTTTTCAGCTGATTGGATAAGGCCCACCCACCTGATAGAGGCAATCTGCTTTCCTCAAAGTCAACCAATTTAACGCTACCTCATCCAAAAGCACCCTCACGTTAACAGGAGGTGATGGGACTTTTCCACTTTGTAGGGAGCCATCAGGTTCATCTGGAAAGAAATTGATGGGGGAACACATCTTAATGAAGTTCACTCTTCCCTTCTCTTTCCACTCTGACTTGCTGGGAACGAGAACTATTCCACTGAGGCCTACCTATAACGAGCCCACTGGTGTGGGACTTCTGAGCAGACAGAATGTAATTTCTTCATGCTGATGCCTCAGTCAATCTTTCAGCTGCAGAAATGTGCTGAGGAAAAGGGAAGAAAAGAGGGTTCATGGTAGCTCCCCTGACCTGGATAAAATGTGAGCTCAGATGTCCCTGGAGTAAAACCAGCATCTGAGTGGAACTGTCACTGGACAGTGTAGCCAACCGAAGCAGCGCAAAGGCACCCAAACTGACAATGAACTTGCGGAGAGCAGCAGAGCAAATGGGCCAATGGTGCAAAGGCTGCATTCACTCATTCCTCATTCATTCACTCATCAAATAACTTGCGCTAGGCTCTGAGCGAATAAGGCAGCCTGGTGTCTGTTCTCATGCAGCCTCACGGAGAAAGAAGTGCAGTTAGAAATACGCCATCGAGGAGAACATTGCTCTGGATGGATTTACAACCTCATTTAGAGGTGACTTTTGCTCTACGCTGGTGGGAAAGAGTCCCGGATTTGGGGCCAAAGCTGGATTCAAATCCTAACTCTTAGACTTCCTGGCTGCCAAGTCAGCGATCTTCTTGGATCTCCTGTAAAACGGGGCAAAAAACATCTGCCACCCCACCTGTCACGTGGACGTAACATGAGAAGCAAAGACAATAATGCATGAAATGCTTTGCCAGTTCTAAAGTCCTGAATCAGGGCTTCTCCTCCCTGGCTGCACACCTGGTAGCTTTTTTAAACTACCAATGCCTGACACGCCACAATGCCCCGCCCCTCACCACTAGCTCAGACTAATGGGGTCAGGCTCCCTTAGCGGAAGGATCTAAGCAATGGTATTTATTAAAAGCTCTCAGGAGAAACTAAAGCAAAGCCACCCTATACAAGCACTGCCAATTTGCATACTGTTACTTCCCCAAAGTAATCATATTGAAAATTTGCCACTTAGTGATCCTTGCATCCCAAGGTTGGTTCAAATTTGACAGAAAAAGTAGATTTGGGCCACTCTGCTTTGGGGGGGCCTGCTTTAATGCTACAAGCAACAGAGAAGCCTGCTATATAGCTCGGAATAGGAAAGTCATCCACTGACCTCACAGGCCAAGAGAGTCTTGAGTGGCGGCTGGGGGACAGATCTCACTGCAGGCGTGAAAGACGGTCCATCCATCAGGTACAGCGTGACCTCCTAATGGCAGGAAATAGGACTCATACAACAGACATTGGATTTTCTGCTGTGACTGGTACTTTTTTAGATGTTAGGGATACTATCATAACCTGAAGAGACAACAATCGCTACTCTCATGGAGATCATGTTTTAGCAGGTGGAGGAAGACAATACAAATTAATAAGTAAAATACATAAAATGTGAGATGGTGATAAGTACTACAGAGAAAAGTAAAATAAGGGGTATGGGTCTCTGGTCCCGTGAAAGAAGTGAGAGAGTGAGCCATGTTGGTCCCCGGAGGAACAGCGTTTTAGGCAGAGGGAACAGCAAGTAAAAATGTCCTGAGGCAGAAACATGCCTGGTTTGGTTGAGGAACAGCAAGGAGGCCAGTATTGTTGCTGACGGTGAGGGTAGTAGGAGGTGAGATCAGAGAGTTATCCGCAGGCCTGATTACAGAGGCTTGTAGGATATTGTGAAGACTTATTCTGACTCTGAGTGAGATGGATTTTGAGCAGAGGAGTGGTATGATTTGACTTGTGTCTCTATAGGCTCACTGTCTGCCACATGGAGAATGAACTCAAGGGGACAAAGGAAGAAGGCAGCCCAGTTAGGAGGCTGTTCTGACAACCTGAGAGGAAAGGCTGGTGGCTTAGACCAGTGAGGGGACAGTGGAGGTCGTGGGAAGTGGCTGGGGGAGGGAGGAGAAGTAGCAGAGCCCACGTCAGGAGCTGGCGCCACAACTGATGATTCATGGACAAATTGACCAAAGCGAGGAAGCAAACCCAGGGTCAATGTGTCAGAAACCCAGAATCCACTAAGATCAATGCCACCTGAAGCCTCAAGACAGAAAAGGAGCCCCCCACAGCCTTCCTATCTCTCTGTGCACCTTGCATTTGAAACGCTCCAAGCACTAAGACAAATAAAAATGCTTTTTTGAGGGGAAAGAGACTGTCACCATTATAGAAGCCCTGTGAGCATGGGAATTTAAACACTGCCAATCACTGCCCACTGATGAACATTTCTAAAGGGAGACATAAAGTGTGATTCTGCAAAACCTGGCTTGAATATCATCATGGATCAAATTTGTGATATTGGGAATTGGCAAGCCCGGACATGTGTAGTGGAAAGAAAGTACATGGGGTAGGGGTAGAGCTAGGCACAGACCATTCTAAATGCCAATGTGTTCTGCCCTGAATGTTCCTACCTGCAAGACAGACAGAAGTGTGTGGCTGAGGAAGAACATCTGCCACCAGGCGGCACTATTTCCCCTGAAATGTCTGACACAGGATGGATAGGTGACTCCTCAGCAAGCTAGAAAGGAGAGTCCTGATTATTAGTCTCTCCTAAAGTCGAGTGCCTGGAGCCCCAGAGGCAAGGGGTGAATGTGGTCCTACCTGTTCTTTGGCAATTCTGCAGGCTCCCTTGGCACAGAGTGACTTGAAGGATTCTGTTCTTCCCAGTCAAGCTCTTGACAGAGTGTAATACAAGAGTTCTTAGCCCTCTGGCATTCGGCTGAGGCTTCTGAACTCCTTCTCAGCATTATGTTTTTAAATGCATAATATTTAGAATGCAAAGGGTTACAAAGTAAGCTAATTATATTGAAATTCAATCATCAGAATACTAAAGAAAATGTGAGATACAGGAATACGTGTGCTTCTTTATTAATGCAGTAAATGAGATCCGGGGGGGCCTCCTGCCCATGGTGGTTTTGAAATACTAATGAGCAAAAATGATATTTCAAGGTATCTGCAACAACTGTAATGTGATGTTTGTGGTGGTTATATTTGATGGAATAGATTAATTTTAGTGAGAGGTTGATGAAAACAAAGATGCATTTGATTTTTCTCTCTGTCGCACCATTTTAGTTCATGGACCGCTTGAATTCTGTCCAGAGACCTCAGGAAGACTGGAAGACCCTGGTTGATAATCCTTGTTCAGTGCCTCTTTAATGAGCCAATCACGCATATTGCCATTTGAAGAAAGCAAAACATCCCTCAAGCTAGCCAGGCTCCAGTCGAAGAAGGAATGAGTTCATTACAATCCTTCCCCCGTCTAGTCCCCCTTTCTGGTCACGCCTCTGAAGCACTGCGATTTCTTTAACACCTTCTCTTCCTGGAGTCTCTCCTCTCCTCTTTGGCAGCTAAAGCCAAAACCGCTTCCTGGCCCCTCTTTGCTCCTCTCTTTCTTTCTTTATCCAAAAATCAAGATGAAGGACTACTTCCCTGGTGGTGCAGTGGTTAAGAGTCCGCCTGCCAATGCAGGGAACACGGGTTCGAGCCCTGGTCCGGGAAGATCCCACATGCCGCAGAGCAACTAAGCCTGTGCGCCACAGCTACTGAGCCTGTGCTCTAGAGCCCGCAAGCCACAACTACTGAAGCCCGCGCACCTAGAGCCCGTGCTCTGCAACAAGAGAAACCACCGCAATGAGAAGCCTGCGCACCGCAACAAAGAGTAGCCCCTGCTCGCCGCAACTAGAGAAAAGCCCATGCACAGCAACGAAGACCCAACCCAGCCAAAAATAAATAAATAAATTTATTTTTAAAAAACCCAAAACACAAAATCAAGATGAGTCTCACTCAGTCCCAGAAATAACGCTGAGTCGTTTGTCCTTTGGTTTTCCTTGCCTTTCTTCTCCCTCCAGAGGTGAGAAGGAAGAGGGAGGGTGTAGTAATTGATGAAAGCCAGCAAAGTCCAACTGTTAGAGTAACAGAAAATATGGCAACTTTTGAGTCTCTAAGTCATTCTACCTAAAAACCTCCTTCCCTCACTCCATTAATCTCTAGCCCCCATCCTGCTTTACTTTCTTCACCACTTTTAACCTTATCTAAATTATCTATATATTTACTTTATTGCTGTCTGTTTCCCACACTAAAACTGAGCTACAAAAGGGCAGGGATTTGTCTGTTTCACGTCAGTCTCCCTAGTGCCTAGAATAACAGGACTGGGTGTGTAGCAGATGCTCAAGTAATACTTGTTAAAGGAACGGGCCAGACTGGAATGGGATGGGAGTGCAAATAATTCATTTATTTCAAGTTTTCAGTCTTTTTTCTACCACTGTATTTTATTGATGCTGGAAGAACAAAAATACCATGGGTGAGTTCCCCAGAGGGTGACTTCTTAAGGATTAGACAAGTAAAACAGAGAACAAGCTTTGGTTTGGTAATTATAAGTAACACACTCTGCATAAATATCTTAATTTTATGTAATGCAAATGCATTTAAGCCTTTTTATTTAGGTTAGAGATATTTTACGAAAATAAATATTTTCTCCTCTTTTGAATTTGAAAAAAAGAAACCCTGTTTCATACTATCTCTCTGCAAACGGCTTGTGGGTCTTGAGTGAATTTCTATTAAATATGATATCAAATATATATAATAAGGTTATACTTAGCTATATACATATTGCTAAATAATAGAGGCTGGGATAAATTTTATACAAACACACAATCTCTTAACAGTACAAATGAAAATTGGTACTTTTATTATTAATAATTTAATTTCTCTGTAAATTGTCTTACTTCATCATTATGCACAAGATAGGTAAGGACATTTTGTCATTTTACTTTTGTGCCTTTTGGCCCAGGCAAATCAAGGTGCAGGTAATGAGATACTGAATTCCTACTGGTGGGACTTCTGTAACCTCAAGAGTAACATGGGTAACAGAAGACTGTAAGTGGGAAATCCACGTTATTCTCATTTTCCAAGAAGGGAGAAAAATTCTGCAAGCTGCAGAGTGGGGAGCTGAGCCTCAGTTCCAGAGAGTCAGCCAGCCTGGAGAAGCTGTAAGACACCCTGGTGCCAGTGGGTGGAGCCAGCGAGCCAGGCCCAAGGACAAGTGGCAGCTCAGTAACTTCAATTCCTTTTTCCTGGAGCACGCTACACTGGCCAGCACACTACAGTCATGCATGAGTTCCCTGAAAGACATTTGAGGACCTCACTGTACACTTTCTGACAAGTGGAGAGATGTGGGCTAAGCACAAATTAGGTGAATTTGGAGCACTTAAAAAATAATTGGCTATTCTCATATCTTATCAAATTGTAAGATTGACTATTCTATCCTTTCTATGACCAACCAATTTCTAGATTCACATTGAATCACATATGAGATTGTTTTTATCAAATGAGTTAATAACAATCAGAGTCGATCTGGGCAATTTTACAATACATTAGGAAATAAAAACAAAAATAAACAAATGGGACCTAATTAAACTTAAAAGTTTGCACAACAAAGGAAACCATAAACAAAACAAAAAGTCAACCTACTAAATGGGAGAAAATATTTGCACACAATGCAACCGACAAGGGATTAATTTCCAAAATATACAAACAACTCATACAACTCAATATCAAAAAAACAAAAAACCCGGGCTTCCCTGGAGGCGCAGTGGTTGACAGTCCGCCTGCCGGTGCAGGGGACACGGGTTCGTGCCCCGGTCCGGGAAGATCCCACATGCCGCGGAACGGCTGGGCCCGTGAGCCATGGCTGCTGAGCCTGCGCGTCCGGAGCCTGTGCTCCGCAACGGGAGAGGCCACAACAGTGAGAGGACCGCGTACCGGAAAAAAAAAAAGGGCAGAATATCAAAACAGACATTTCTTCAAAGAAGACATAAAGATGTCCAACAGGCACATGAAAAAATGTTCAACATGGCTAATTATTAGAGAAATGCAAATCAAAACTACAATGAGGTATCACCTCACCCTGGTCAGAATGGCCATCACCATAAAGTCTACAAATAATAAATGCTGGAGCGGGTGCAGAGAAAAGGGAACTCTCCTGCACTACTGGTGGGAATGTAAATTGGTACAGCCACTATGGAGAACAGTATGGAAAGTCCTTAAAAAACTAAAAATAAAGCTACCATATGATCCTGCAATACCGCTCCTGGGCACATATCTGGAGAAAACTGTAATTAGACTACACTAAATGAAGAAGTATAAAGTCTAGAATAAGAGAGATGAAGGGCTTACTCTCCTCTGGGCTAGTAAACCTAGAAAGTCGTTTGTACTCAGTTTGGAATATCA